ACCTTCAATCTACAACACACACACACTCCCTTCCACCTAGATCTGGAAGCCGATTGGCCGATCTCACATCGGTCTAGTTCTGCCTGTCATGTCCTCCAGCACTTTATCAGATTTGGTGGATGACAGACTGAGAATTGCCCTTACTTCCGATGCCGCTATCCCCCCAACGCTTGAAGTAGTCGATGGTTTCCTCTTCAATCATTCTCACGTGTGTTTTGAAGTGAGCGATGTTCAGGCCGGTTTTAAACATTTTCTTCTGTTCCAAAAAGATCTACAAAACAACAAAGAGGAAAAATAAATAAAATCGGTCAGTCAATGGCTGCCATTCTTGTAGCACCGAGGTCCTGGGTTCGGTCAGTCAATGGCTGCCATTCTTGTAGCACCGAGGTCCTGGGTTCAGCGCAAACCCAAAAGCTCTCTATGCATTGACTTTAGGGATTGACTGAAATTTTGGCCGCAATTGCGGTGCATGCCTGGATTCTCTCCTCCCCCGCTGGGCACTGCTCTGCGTTCCCTCTGACAGAGCGCCGCATCCAGCAAAGAGGAGAGAAACTGTCAAAGAAGCTTAGCAGTGCGGGGAGAAGAGCAATGTGAGCTGGTATGTCACAAGAGGCCGGCCTCCCCTCCCGCACCACCCCGCTCGGCCTCCTGTGACAAATCAGGATGGAGAGCGGTGTGGGGGCGTTGACAGCTGTCACAGGAGGCGGCATGGGGGAGGAGTCAGCTGGCTCACTCAGCCTCCAGTGACAGTCAGTGATCACTGAGTGTTTGTAAATAATTGAGGACAGAGTATGGTTACTATATCCTCCATTATGAATGGGAAGTGATCTACGTCACATCTACATCCCCTCCTGTCCATTCATGATTGTGGTTATAGTAAACATACTCTGTCCTCATGTTATGAATGATCAGAAACACTCAGTATAGATGATTCCTGTTCATCTATAAACAGGGGCTGCAGAAAAAGAGATTGAGGGCTCTGTGTGTCTCTGGGGGCTCCGCGCGTCTCTGGGGGCTCCACGCGTCTCTGGGGGCTCCACGCGTCCTCAATCTCTTTTTCTATTGTAAAAGGGAAATATCAGAGGTCTGTTTAGATCCCTAATATTTCCCCGAAGCCCCTAAAAGTAAAGTAAATAAATATAAAAACCATTATAATTTTCGGTTTCAAAATGTCCTTTCAGAGCACCTCGAATTCCCTTTGCGGGTTTCTTCTCACAACCTTAAAACATACAAGTACATTTGTGTGATTAGTAAACTCCAAGCTCCTCTGGGGCGGGGCCTAAGGCGAATGGGCAGAGCGGGGAAATATGCAGGAGAAATGCATCATGTAACTTCATCCAGTTGTCACCCCCATCCCGGCACAGGAGGTCACACAGGTCATTAAGAATCATCATCTTACCGGGTTTGGGACGTCATAAGCGACTCCTTTCCCGAACACGGGGGTGGTCAGGCGGGAATACACATCCTCGGCATTCAGATCCTCGTTCTTGCTGTTGAAGAGCAGTGCGGCGGCATCGCTCCCCACCAGATAGGTGAAGGTTTTCCCCACCATGGTGAAGCTGAAGACGGGTCCATACTAGAAGGCAGGAAATCAGAGGACACGCAGCGTCACATGACACAGTAATCGGCACAATGATTCTCCATTATTCTTCAGCTGAACAGAATCAGAATGAACATCGCTTTAGACCGGGGTGAGCAAACTCCGGCCCTCCAGCTGTGGTGACACTACAAATCCCATCATACATCTGCCTCTGGGAGTCATGCCTGTTCCTGTCAGAGTCTTGCAGTGCCTCATGGGATTTGTAGTTCCAGCTGGAGGGCCGGAGTTTGCCCAAGGGTCATACAAGTGTCTGGCCACATACAAAAGGGTCATACAAGCGTCTGGCCACATACAAAAGGGTCATACAAGCGTCTGGCCACATACAAAAGGGTCATACAAGCGTCTGACCACATACAAAAGGGTCATACAAGCGTCTGGCCACATATAAAGGTCATACAAGTGTCTGGCCACATATAAAGGTCATACAAGTGTCTGGCCACATACAAAAGGGTCATACAAGCGTATGGCCACATACAAAAGGGTCATACAAGCGTCTGGCCACATACAAAAGGGTCATACAAGCGTCTGGCCACATATAAAAAAGGTCATACATACACTGGTCAGAGCTCATACATAATGTCATGTACAGAGAACGGTCTGCGTGTGTCCCGGCTCACCTGTTCATAAGCTTTTTCCAGGAATTGGATGGGACTCTTCCCGAAGGAGATGGCGTGTCCCAGGAAGGGGATGGGAGAGGAAATGAATGGCGGATATTTCTGCAGAGGATGGAAGAAGACAACGACATTTAGGGGTCCCGGATACATGAGGAATGTGCAGAGGAACATCTTCTGAAGGCCCCGAGCTATGGCCAACCCCCACCCGGAACCCAGGGGAATGGTATAGTAACTCCCAGTTATCCGACATCTCATCTACCAATCCCCGTGGGTAACTGTAGTTTCTGGTTGCTTGAGAGTTACCAATACCTCTAAAGCAACAAGCCCACCACCCTCCCCGCCCCGCTGTCAGCCGCAGCAAAAACGACATTTATTACTGTGCACACATTTCAATCAAAGAAATCTCTTCCATCGGTCTGTTTACACAGCAACCAGCCATCTTATCTGCTTCTTCATTAATATGTAGCCAATCAGAGACTCCGCTTGTTCTGCTGCTGCCACCCATCATCCAGTATAAAAAGCCCAGTCCCATCATTCCCAGCTCTCCCACCATTCCCATCTCTCCCATCGCTCACCATTCCCATCTCTCCCACCGCTCACCATTCCCATCTCTCCCCCTGCTCACTATTCCCATCTCTCCCCCCGCTCACTATTCCCATCTCTCCCCCCGCTCACTATTCCCATCTCTCCCCCCGCTCACTATTCCCATCTCTCCCCCCGCTCACTATTCCCATCTCTCCCCCCGCTCACTATTCCCATCTCTCCCCCCGCTCACTATTCCCATCTCTCCCCCCGCTCACTATTCCCATCTCTCCCCCCGCTCACTATTCCCATCTCTCCCCCCGCTCACTATTCCCATCTCTCCCCCCGCTCACTATTCCCATCTCTCCCCCCGCTCACTATTCCCATCTCTCCCCCCGCTCACTATTCCCATCTCTCCCCCCGCTCACTATTCCCATCTCTCCCCCCGCTCACTATTCCCATCTCTCCCCCCGCTCACTATTCCCATCTCTCCCCCCGCTCACTATTCCCATCTCTCCCCCCGCTCACTATTCCCATCTCTCCCCCCGCTCACTATTCCCATCTCTCCCCCCGCTCACTATTCCCATCTCTCCCCCCGCTCACTATTCCCATCTCTCCCCCCGCTCACTATTCCCATCTCTCCCCCCGCTCACTATTCCCATCTCTCCCCCCGCTCACTATTCCCATCTCTCCCCCCGCTCACTATTCCCATCTCTCCCCCCGCTCACTATTCCCATCTCTCCCCCCGCTCACTATTCCCATCTCTCCCCCCGCTCACTATTCCCATCTCTCCCCCCGCTCACTATTCCCATCTCTCCCCCCGCTCACTATTCCCATCTCTCCCCCCGCTCACTATTCCCATCTCTCCCCCCGCTCACTATTCCCATCTCTCCCCCCGCTCACTATTCCCATCTCTCCCCCCGCTCACTATTCCCATCTCTCCCCCCGCTCACTATTCCCATCTCTCCCCCCGCTCACTATTCCCATCTCTCCCCCCGCTCACTATTCCCATCTCTCCCCCCGCTCACTATTCCCATCTCTCCCCCCGCTCACTATTCCCATCTCTCCCCCCGCTCACTATTCCCATCTCTCCCCCCGCTCACTATTCCCATCTCTCCCCCCGCTCACTATTCCCATCTCTCCCCCCGCTCACTATTCCCATCTCTCCCCCCGCTCACTATTCCCATCTCTCCCCCCGCTCACTATTCCCATCTCTCCCCCCGCTCACTATTCCCATCTCTCCCCCCGCTCACTATTCCCATCTCTCCCCCCGCTCACTATTCCCATCTCTCCCCCCGCTCACTATTCCCATCTCTCCCCCCGCTCACTATTCCCATCTCTCCCCCCGCTCACTATTCCCATCTCTCCCCCCGCTCACTATTCCCATCTCTCCCCCCGCTCACTATTCCCATCTCTCCCCCCGCTCACTATTCCCATCTCTCCCCCCGCTCACTATTCCCATCTCTCCCCCCGCTCACTATTCCCATCTCTCCCCCCGCTCACTATTCCCATCTCTCCCCCCGCTCACTATTCCCATCTCTCCCCCCGCTCACTATTCCCATCTCTCCCCCCGCTCACTATTCCCATCTCTCCCCCCGCTCACTATTCCCATCTCTCCCCCCGCTCACTATTCCCATCTCTCCCCCCGCTCACTATTCCCATCTCTCCCCCCGCTCACTATTCCCATCTCTCCCCCCGCTCACTATTCCCATCTCTCCCCCCGCTCACTATTCCCATCTCTCCCCCCGCTCACTATTCCCATCTCTCCCCCCGCTCACTATTCCCATCTCTCCCCCCGCTCACTATTCCCATCTCTCCCCCCGCTCACTATTCCCATCTCTCCCCCCGCTCACTATTCCCATCTCTCCCCCCGCTCACTATTCCCATCTCTCCCCCCGCTCACTATTCCCATCTCTCCCCCCGCTCACTATTCCCATCTCTCCCCCCGCTCACTATTCCCATCTCTCCCCCCGCTCACTATTCCCATCTCTCCCCCCGCTCACTATTCCCATCTCTCCCCCCGCTCACTATTCCCATCTCTCCCCCCGCTCACTATTCCCATCTCTCCCCCCGCTCACTATTCCCATCTCTCCCCCCGCTCACTATTCCCATCTCTCCCCCCGCTCACTATTCCCATCTCTCCCCCCGCTCACTATTCCCATCTCTCCCCCCGCTCACTATTCCCATCTCTCCCACCGCTCACCATTCCCATCTCTCCCAACGCTCACCATTCCCATCTCTCCCCCCACTCACCATTCCCATCAATCCCACCACGACTCCACACAGTCCCGCCATCAGGCACTCACCAAGTTGTCGTCTTGCACGGTGTTGAGGTGTTTGAAGGCGAGCTTGGACAGATAGGCCAGAGTGAGGAGGAAGGCGCAGGGCAGAAGAACCTTCGAAGCCAAACTGTCCCCCACGGCCCCCTCCAGCAGGGTGCCCCCCGCCTGCCACAGACTCACCAGCATGGTCACCTGTACAGGAAGTAATACATGGTCACATGATGAGGAACCAACAAGCACCTCCCCCCGTGGTGTCTCTTTTATTGGACGGTCCGGGCTCATTGTAAATATAGAAAAATCGGATCTTTGTACTTCAGGAATTCAGAGAGAGAAGATTTCACCGATGTCTTCCTTCCTGTGGCAGTATAACCCGACTGTATGAATTCCTGTGTCCCTCCATGGACGGGACAGAAAAAATAACCATATACCAGGGGTAGGCAAACTCCGCCCCTTTGGCTGTGGAGGAACTACAAGTCTCAGGAGGCACTGCAAGACTGACAGCCACAAGTATGACTCCCAGAGGCAGAGACAGGATGAGATTTGTAGTTTCCCCACAGCTGGGGGACCAGAGTCTTCCTTCCCCTGCCAAACACTGAACTCCATCATTAAATAATGACCCCCCCTCCCCGAGATATCAGAACATGTATTGTGGTCACTGAAAGAGACCCCTCCCCCCCAGTCCCTACAGAGGGATGACAGGAGGAGGAGGTCTACAGAGACCAGAAGGGTAGAAGATGATGGGTGGATGAATGGACGGGCTGACAGAAAGGTGGATTGATGGACGGACAGGTAGGTGGACAAATGGATGGATGGACGGACATGCTGACAGGTAGGTGGGCAGATGGATGGACAGGCTGACAGGTAGGTCGATGGACAGGTGGACGAATGGACGGACAGGCTGACAGGTAGGTGGATGGATGGACAGACAGGCTGACAGGTAGGTGGATGGATGGACGGGCTGATAGATAGATGAATGGTTGGACGGCTGACAGGTGGATGGCTGGACAGGCTGACAGGTGGATGGACGAAAGGACAGACAGGTAGGTGGACAGATGGATGGACGGACATGCTGACAGGTAGGTGGGCAGATGGATGGACAGGCTGACAGGTAGGTGGATGGACAGGTGGACGAATGGACGGACAGGCTGACGGCTGGACGGGCTGACAGGTGGATGGACAGACGGGCTGACAGGTGGATGGACGAAAGGACAGGCTGACAGGTGGATGGACAGACAGGCTGACAGGTGGATGGACAGACAGGCTGACAGGTGGATGGACGAAAGGACAGGTGGATGGCTGGACGGGCTGAGAGATGGACGGATGAATGGTTGGACGGGCTGACGGATTGGCTGACAGATGTGAATGTGTGCGGGACATTCGCCGGACACACAGCAGTACCTGCACCGCACACAGGATGCGTTCTATGACAGAATGGCGCCCACACAGGCCGTGTCCCCCGTACCTGCACTGCTGTCCTCTGAGGTGATCGGGATCTCGTCTTCGCAGTGAGTGGTGGGTGTCGTCAACTCCGTCCGCTTTTGCAGGCAGTGTGAGAGGGGAGGGAGGGGGCGTGTCCAGCTAGAAGAGCAGTCAGCAAGGCCGGAGACCCCGTACGGGGAGTTATACGGAGACCTCCTGTCCTCAGCACAGCCCCGGACCAGACACAGCAGGCACCCCCGGGCTAGACACCCGCCAAAACGCCCCCCCACACGGAGCGAGACCGCTAATAGGCGGGGTCAGAGTTGACAGTGTGGGCGGGGTCAGAGACCGGCGGCTCTGCGGTGGCTAGTGACGCCGCGCAGCCATTGGCTGGCGCTCGCTGAACTGATGTCTGACTATGTGACGTCACGGACGGCCGGTCTTATCCGCTGAGCTGCCGAGAGCTGTGAGGAGGTGACGCTACGTGCAGCCTGGGGCGAGGGGCGTGGCCTCCCACTAAGGACATCCCACCCCAACTGTGTACCGACATACTCGGAAGAGGGCTGAACTTAAAAGGGCTCCACCCAGGGCAATGTGCCTGTCACCGTATCCTGCACCTCATTATTACAATAAGTACACATCAAGTGGTCGAAAAATATATATCAGTCTCCCCACTGCTCTACTATGTTCCATCTAGTGACCATAATGCACTATTACATTACATTTGACCTGAAAAGAAAATATACTAAGAACATTTGTTTTAGTCCCACAGAATGAACGTTCATGGAGATTTGCAGGGCGAATGTCTGCAAATTGTTTATAAATAGACCCCATACTGTATTTGTAGTCTGCGGTAAGATTGAACCAGGAGGTGGGCAACTCCGGCCCTCCAGATGTGCTTTAACTACAAATCCCATTATGCATCTGTCTCTGGGAATCATGCCTGTGGCTGTCAAGTCTTGCAATGCCTCATGGGATTTGTAGTTCCCCAACTGCTGGAGGGCCGGAGTTTCCCGCCATTGTTCTAGAGACTTCTTCTTGAGAACATTAAATATTCTTGCTGATCTTTGTACACTGGATTGCCCTTTATTTACTGTCCCAGTTACTTCCAAAACACTGGAGCCTCCGATGTGTGTGGGGAGATGTAGTTCTCATGTATCCGGTACATCATGCAGTGCCCGGCACCAATGTACTTTGATCTAATGGGGTAATATGCTTTATTGCTGACTCCCGCTGGCTTCCTTCTCCTCACTCCCGCAGGCTTCCTTCTCCTCACTCGCAGCAGTGTCACCCTATACAACGTGGGAGCAGCAGTCCTGCTTCGTACGGCTGGGAGCGCACAGGGCCCTCCCACATTCCGGAGCGTCAGACATTGGAGGAAAGCATCAGCTGCCGAAGGAGTGAGGAATAAGGTATGGGAGCCATACTTCAGCCCTCCACCTTGTAGAAAAACCACAGATCTCATCATGCCTCTGATAGGCATGCCTGTGGCCGTCTTGCAATGCCTTATGGGACTCAAATTGTTACCCAGTTTACACATAGGGGTGTTCATATCCCAAATACCGGACTCGGTACGAGTACAGATACTTCTCCAGCTCCAGGACTAGACTAGAGAAAAACTCAAAAGTTAGGAGGCCGCTGTCATATGTAAGGTGCACACGGAGCTCCTGGGATGTCTGCGTCCCTCTTTTATATACAGTAAACTCTCTGTTGTCCGGTATTCAACTGTCCGGGGAAAAAAAAATCCCCTGTGTACTCACTGTTCTGCCGAACTGCCCCCTTCTAGGAGAGGAGAGAGTACTCTGGAGCATGGAAAGGTGCAGGAACGGGCTGAAAAGTGCTGGGTGATCCTGGGAACGGGTGTCTGAACGATCTCTGGAAAGTGCTGTGTTATCCTGTGAACAAGCGCCACCCAGTGATCACTCCCAGTACTGCAATGTATTGCTAATGGTTTAGAGCACAATATACTGGTATGGTATATGTATGGGGTATGGCATTAGTTAAACCCATTTTTAATAGTAACTCTCAAGCAACCAGAAACTACATTTATCCGGAGTCTACCAATCCCCGTGGATGCCGGATAACGGGGAGTTTACTGTATATAAAACATGCATTCAGTCCCCGTTCACATTGAGCGGATTTCCCAGGAGCCCCATATATTTACTGTATATATGGATAATGGGGAGTGGGGAGGGTGACAGCTATACCAGCTCTGTGCCTCTCCCACCTATAGGCACAGGTGTACCGGGCCTTAGTCTAAATCTTGTCCTGCCAATAGAGGAACATGGTTTGGGCTGCTATACTAGTATGTAAATGTGCTTGGTTTAGTTGTTATTGATCTACTCTTACATAGGGGCTCCCCCCACACTGCAAGGGTTAAAGGAGAACTATGAGGTGGGTGCTTTTCACTCACCTCATAGTTCTAGCCGACCTGTAACAATGAGACTGTCACAGGTCGGCTCAGTAGATCGGGAGGTGAGCGAACACATACCGGCGTTCGCTCACCTCTCGATTCTGTCCCGGGTCTCTGCCGTGACAGGGGAGGGGCTGGATTCCCCCCTCCCCGATCCGATCCACCAGCGCTCACTGGCAGAACGGACGGGGGAGGGGGCTGAGCTTAGGGTAACGGGAGGACGCTAGTTTGTGTCCTCCCGTTACCCTAAGGAGAACTATGGGGAAAAGCCCTGACCCCATAGTTCTTCTTTAAGTGCTTGTCCATGTCTAGGGATTAGAGTAAAACAGATTTACTTACCTGATCCCCGCTCACCTGGCGGTCGGCGGTTTCCCTTTCCCTCCCTCCACTTTGTCCCTCGGAGTCCCCACGTGCAATGTCCGTCTATGGAACCTACATTGGACGTGGTGACATCAGCGCTCCCTAGAATGAAGAGTGAAGAGGCTGTGGGGACCCATCTAGCAGTCCTGTGGGAGCGGGGATAAGGTAAGTAAAACAGCTTGTCCCTGTGCCCTAGCCAGAAATGAGCAGCTAACTTTTATTTAGACATGTGAGCTGCGGAAAAATTCAGTACGGATATTTTGTTATTTCAGGATTTGGATCCGAAATTCAATTCGGTTCGGATTCGGAGGAAATCCGAATTTTCGTTCGTTTCGGATGAGTTTACGAATATTAGTTGTGAATACCACAGAAAACCATATACAGATATTAATACTAAAGTTGAGGCTCCCAGACCCGAATGGCAGTCGGGATCCGAATTTCCGAATTGCATTTGGGAGCTCCTGAATGCCATTCGGGTCTGGGAGCCTCAGCTTTAGTATTATATGTATATACTGTATGCTGTATATGGCTCCCATGTTCCCGTAACGCAAATTCTTGTTCAGACCCGTTCGGATGCATTCAACCGAAAAACACATCTGATTGGCCAGAAAAGTCACATGTACGATTCAGTTTCGCGTTTGAACGAAATTCAGATGGGATCCGAAATTCGGAAACGGAAATTCGGATTTGGACACATTTGGATTGTGATCCAGAACTAAATGAGTCGCACGTTTCTACTTTTAATTTCCCTGAAGTTTGGCTTTAAGCAGCACCCTGAAACATGTATCTATTCTGAAATCTAGCACCTCCCTCCCTATGTCCTGAAACTCATAGCTGTATATGGAATCTGCAGTGTGAGATCATCTGAAGCACTACGGCCTTTACCTGTCATCAGAAATGAGGATGTCACTGCTGTGCTGATCGCTGTTCTTGCTGGAGAGAAAGCAGAACTGCACGGATCTCCCCGCTTCTGCTTCATTCACTGTAACTGTTCTTCCTGCACCTTTCCTGCTGCTTCTTAGTCATTCCTTCACCAGTCAGCAGCAGGAAAGGTGCAGGAAGCGCAGATACAGTGGAGACGCCAGGCAGCTCTGACATGAGGAAGAAAAGCCCTTTTTTTACCAAGATGGCTGCCCACACAGAGACACAGTGCAGAACAAGGCATGGTCAGTCAGTACTGGGGAAGAGATCAGCTACAGGGAGACCACAGGCAATAACGGTGACTATTGATTTGCCCTCTTGTTGCCTTTGCTTGACACAGCCTCTACAGTTCAGGCCAGTGGGGTCACAAGGGGGTTGCAGTCCGCACCAGGGGACACTAAAATGACTGACAGTCATTTTGGTGTCACCCTCTCTGAAAAGTCGGGCACTCAGTCATAAACCAAGAGCCTGACAGCTGCAAGAAGAGGAGGGGACTTGGTGGCATACTTTATCCTCTCTTTGCTGGCATCCATCACCAAGATGGCTGCCAGCAGTGAAGTGCATGAGACTTCATTAGACACGTGCGTCATGACGTCATGTATACACTGAGTGGCCAGTTTATTATGACCACCTGACGTAACATACAGTATATACAATGACGTGAGCAGCAGTTGAGCCGCACCAGGTGACAACCGACCTGGTGATGTCCCTGGATCAGCTCCTCTTTATATATGAATTCCCTTTAAGGGTCATGCAGAGAAACAAACATGTTTAGTGTATTAGCTTGGTTGATTGGGCACGCACGCACGCACGTGCACGCACACACACAGTTTTGGTTAGCAGGCAGGTTTGTGAGAAGCTGTAGATCAGACAGAACTTGCTGAGGGTGATGCAAGTAAATTCAGAGTTCCCGTAGTCATTGTGAAGTATCAGAGTTTTATTGACTTTGCTTTGAGTTTTAGCATGTTGGCTTTTAGTGCAATCTCGTGTAAGTCGGCCATCACCAGCACCCGAATCAGCTGTTCAGAAATGGCTGCCGGACTTATGTTAGGGTGTCTGCCGGTTCTCCAGAGGTTAAATGCATGCAGGACCTTGTCTGGTAGTTGCAGAGATCTGAAACATAAATGGACATGGTCATGGTAATGGTCATGTGTAAGTGTGTGCACACAGTCCTGTGGCCATTCTGATGCAGTTAAATGTATCATAACCTGTCTAAAAATGTCTTATTATTTAATGTGTATGTAAAAAATGGATCTGGTTTTGGTAGGTTGTGGCTCTGTCATTAAGCAAGTAAGTAAGTGCAGAAGTGTGAAGTTTGGCCGCTACATCTGGCATAAAGTGCAAATATGCTGTACAATTCTGTACATTATGGCAAAACCCCTGGGCACCAGCAGCAGAGATGAATTCCACTTTAAGGGATAGGAGGCACTGTGTGTAATAGAGAATTGTGAGGTGCTGGATGTCATACAGCCCTGCATTGATGGAGAGGGATGGGGTAATGCCTGTCATACACAGGTATGATGTGCTACATGTAATAGACATGTGCGATTCGTTTCGTTACAAATCGAAATTCGTACGAATTTTCCTGAAATTCGTAAATTCGGAAGCATCCGAAATCCGAATTGCAGTTTCCGAATTAAATCCGAAATACGAAATTCCGTTAACGAATTTCGGATCCGAATTTCTTTGAAACAGGAACTAATATTACCCCTGTAAATGAGGTTGAACAACATGACAAGATTTTTTTTTTTTATCCGAAATACGGATCCGCTGCTGCTGAGAGTTGCATTACAATACACAGGCAGGAAATACGAAATTCCGTTGACTGAATTTCGTTCCGTTACGAACATTCGTTATATTGAAGTTAAAAAGCAAAGTACATTTATATTGGAGTTGATGGTAGTTTTTTTTTATCCGAAATACGAAATTCAAGCCCTCAGCTTGTGTAGCAAGCGTTTGTGTGGTACCGTATCAAAAGCCTTTGAGAAATCCAGATATACCACATCCACCGGCTTACCTCCATCCATATCTCTACTTACCCCCTCATAAAAAGTTAGCAAGTTAGTTAGGCAGGAACGGTCTTTCCTGAACCCATGCTGATTGTCATTAACTATCCAGTTTTCCTGAGGATTTAAAAGGAAGAGCAGCAAAGAGAAGGGAAACTACCATGGATTACAGTAAGGCACACATTACAGTATTGGTTTATGTTAAAAAATCTGAGGGTTTAATTATGAATGAAAGGTTTAAGGTCAGATTGTCCTTTGCTTTTATTGCAGATGCATGGCAAACACACGGAAAACACATAGAAAATGCATTGCAAGCGGAACACTAGTTCACAGAGAGGTTGGAGGCAGCGAGTATATCACAGAGGGACTGCGAGAAGTAGAGAGTATGGGTCAGCCCTGAACTGCAAAGACACAGTGACACAAGATAGGGGAAATCACACACGTGCTGTCCTGCCAATCAAAGCCTTCTTCTCATGGCCGTGCAGATAAAGAAATGAGTGAAGATGTAGGATGTGTTGTTGTGAACATGCGTTTCTCCTGTGACCAGAAGTAATTCAGCTCAGCAATTCCTTCAGCATGTGTAACTCGCTACAGGAGAAGAAAATGGCATCTCGGGGACATCACTTTCTGCTCCGTAAAGTTGAATAATATTGGCAGAGGGAGGCAGAGTACTGGCTTATGTGTCCAGATGGTGGGGACCTTCCATCCAATACCACCTGTCCTACCTCCACTCTACATTACAGGAGTCAGTTCCTGAGACACAGAAAGTTGAGTTGGGTCACTGAAGGGATTTTGAGTTGGGTCACTGAAGGGATTTTGAGTTGGGTCACTGAAGGGATTTTGAGTTGGGTCACTGAAGGGATTTTGAGTTGGGTCACTGAAGGGATGGGATACGGTATTATTATTATTGTTCTTACTTGTTCTTTAACATTGCTTTGATGTCTTCATCTCGAACGTGAAGTTTCTCGCACAGAAATGTAAAGTCGTCTGTAATAAGACAGCCTGAAACCAGCTTAAAAATCTTCTGCAAAATCCTCTCTATAATAAAGGGAACATAATACAATTATTAATTGAACTCCTAATGCTGTTGTAGAAACACCACAACCAAGCTAACTTCTGAAACTCTGTTCATTTCACCTTTAAATGAAGGGCTATATAATTGCTTATGGACAAATTCAACAGGATTTCCATTGTGTTGTTGAGTAGAACTGATGGCTCTTTACTCTATGCTGTGTAACCTCCTTCTCAGAGACCCGCAGCAGGAGGTTCTTAGAACCTGGGAACACGCCGGGCAACAACTTTGCATGAGCATGGCCATTCATGAAATATTTATACTGATAACCATGGATGTCACCAAGCCTGGACTCCAAGGACACATCCCCCGGGTCTCCTCTTTGGTTCCCAAGGTTAGACACACACACACATTCTACCAGTATGTATTCCAGGCGGTTCTCTCAGACTTAATTCGGAGAGTTAGGAATTGTTAACATCATACACCTCTCCCTAACCATAAGGCTGTTTTTAAATAGTCTAGGGCAATCCTAAGTGAAGTTTAATAATGCAGTAATTCAATGAAGTTTACCAGCAATGTTAAGCAAGCATCAAGTGAAGTAACAAATGCAGCAGTTCAATGAAGTATCCCAGCAATGTTAAACAAGCATCAAGTGAAGTGATACATGCAGCAGTTCAAATGAAATATACCAGCAATGATTAAGCAAGCATCATTCTAGTGAAATGATAAGCGGCAGTTCAAATGAAGTATACCAGCCAGGTTTAAACAATGACCATTTGTCCATAGGATTGCATGGTAATTGGCGGTGGTAGTTAGGGCAGAGACTGCTGATACTTGCGGTTTTTTGGAGGGACCCCGGCTGGGTCAGCGGTGTTTGTGGCTGTTGGGGTGAAAGAGAGAGAGAGAGAGAGAGAGGTCCCAGCTTCCTGGTTCGTGGGAACAGGCGGATAGAGTTAGCAGGGCGTACACTCTAAATTAGTGGAACGCCGTGCTAAGCTCCTCTTCCGCATTTATCGGAGCAGTCGGGTTGGTGGGCGGAGCCGAGTGACGGCCGCTGTACGTTGCGTTCCACTCTGGAGCGCAAGCCCTGAATGTCGGCATGGGAATCTGCCTGCTGCGCTCCAGGTGAAACGCTATCTCAATGTGTTACAGCGAGTAGGGTTACCACCTGTCCGTGATTCACCCGGACAGTCCGGGTTTTGAATGCTGTGTTCGGGTCTCATGACAGCTGAAACCCGGACAAAAGTGCAGACGGGGCAACCAAAATTAGGATAGGGGCTACTGGCACCCCACTGAAAATAGTCTTAACTGTGCTATTTACATATGAATAATCCGCGACTCATCCTCCCAAAAAATTTCCATGTGTCACTAGAGTGTTCGGGTTTCCCTGGAAGAAAAGGTGGCAGCCCTAGGAGCGAGGGCGGGAGGTCTCTTGCTGAGGGCAGATTTTTTGCTTGGATTAAAGGGGTCAGAGATTTGCTGGAGGTAGAAATGTTTGCTTAAGGGGGTTTTGAGAGGGGTTTTGCCTAGGGAGGAGGGAGGGATGTAGGAATTTTTGTTTGTTGGGTTGTTGAATTAGTGCTCGAGGGATACTTTTGAACGCCACCCTATGCAAGCAGGGCCATATGTTACATACAACTAAACACTGCATTCTGTACATTGCGAGCATAGCGGTCCAGAGTATGCAATGCACAGGACCACAGTATGCAGAGTGCAGTGGTTAGAAGTATGCAATATATACGGCACAACATACAGGGTGCAGTGGTCAGGAATATATCATATATACAGGTAGTTTAAGATACATAACCCTGACAGCCATACTCTGTACACTGTGCTGAATGTTACATACATAAGGGTCCATTTAAAAACCACCTGTATGGACATACTATGAAAAAAGAAGCCACAGCACATTTATAAATCACATCAGCTTTCATTCATATGTTGCTCAGGGACCCTATTGGTTTAGTCTCTGTGCAGAGTATCCCGGTCTACCTCCTTGCTCATTGGCTATGGCTCCTTGGCTATGATGACTAAGGGTCAGTTGTGGGGCTGAAACACATCAGAAGTTTGCTCTTGACTGTTTCTATACCTTGGAATAAATTTATATTATTGGACTGATCCTGTTTCGAGCGTCGGTTTTCTGTGGACTGGGGATTTACGTCTTAGGCCGAAGCCTTACCTGGCACAGAGGTTCCATCAGCAGGAGAAGATGTGTGAGAGTTGAGCCGCTCCATTTCTATCTATTATCTGTGCTCCTACTCATTACGAGGGGTTCCCCTGCTGGAAGTTTTATTTATTTTATGGTGAATGTAATAGGAAGAGCTGGAGCGCACAAAAGGATAGTGACAACACCCAAACTCTCAAGTCAGGAATGATTACATGAAGATCTTGTTACTGGGGTATCCCAGACATAAGTAACCAGGAGCTGAAACTCAGCCTATGATTAAAATATCATTTTTGGGCAGACTAACCCTTTACAACATGTTAAATAATAAAATGCAATATTTTTTCCCAGTGGGAAGTAAAAGGCAGTCTTCGTAAATTATGTTCTTCCTGCCCTTTGATTCATTTTTTTGCTCACCTTCCCTGATGTCAGTAGCCTGTAAGTAGCACCCAATAGGAAAGAGCTGTTTCCCTTCACACAAGAGGCGCGGTGGTCTCACCATCGGATTTTTATCAAGATCAATCGTATGCAGTTTCCTCAGGCGGTACATGTCTCCAGGCAATGAAGTTAGCATGTTACCTAGAAAAGAATATTCATAATTATTCGTAATGGGTTTATTTATAATGGGTTAGAAACAGCAGTACAGGACGCAAACAATGCAAGCTAAGGGGGGATGTATTATTTTTAATAGCCACATATGGGAGAAGTGATCCCCTGTGATTAGTACCCCCCCCCCCCCCCCCCATGCACTTACAAGCTAGCTAAAACAGTAAGGAGTGTACTGTTAAATATATACTAAACATTTCATATTTACAGAAAAATGTCCCCTTCCTTCAAAAATAATATAACAAATAAAATTGCCAAACAAGGCATTGTGCAATTTGTTTATAAAGAATAACTTTTCCATTTTAAGTCTGAAAATATATTCCAGTATGGCAACTTGAAGGTGTTCTTTCACTTCCTGCTTGTGTTATTGACTCATAGATTTTCCACGAAGCCTGCACTAAGATACAAGAAACATTTTAGGCATCCCCTGTGATAGAAATGTAATTTTGGTGAGATATTCCCTAAGGGAGAAACTTCCTGATTCGAACACTGAAAGTGCACCAGATGCTTATAATGAACCAGAGCCTCCCAATCAAGTATTAGATCCTCACATTCAGGAATCAGACCCTCCCATTCAGGAATCAGACCCTTCCTTTCAGGAATCAGACCCTTCCTTTCAGGAATCAGACCCTCCCATTCGGGAATCAGACCCTCTCATTCGGGAATCAGACCCTCCCATTCAGGAATCAGACCCTTCCTTTCAGGAACCAGACCCTTCCATTCAGGAATCAGATCCTCCCATTCAGGAATCAGACCCTTCCTTTCAGAAATCAGACCCTTCCATTCAGAAATCAGACCCTTCCATTCAGGAATCAGACCCTCCCATTTGGGAATCAGACCCTTCCATTCAGGAATCAGACCCTTCCATTCAGGAATCAGACCCTCCCAATTGGGAATCAGACCCTCCCATTCAGGAATCAGACCCTTCCATTCAGGAATCAGACCCTCCCATTCGGCAATCAGACCCTTCCATTCAGGAATCAGACCCTTCCATTCAGGCATCAGATCCTCACATTCAGGAATCAGACCCTTCCTTTCAGAAATCAGACCCTTCCATTCAGGAATCAGATCCTCCCAATCAGGAATCAGACCCTTCCATTCAGGAATCAGACCCTCTTATTCAAGTCAAGTATAAGATTCTCCCATGTGCTGACCACCGTGGGACCGAGGATCAGGTGAGTATGTCTGCTTTACTTGAGCCCCCTAGACAAAACAAAGCATTTCAACCTTGCAGTGTGGGTGTTAGCCCCAATTTTTTTTTTTTTTACTCTGGGAGTTTTTCTTTAAGGGTTATAATTGTTGTAATGGGTAATTAGATGCAAACAATATAGGAAGTGGGGTCTATTCATCACTTCGTCTATTCGTCTATGATAACAATTTGACACTGGTTGGCCAATCCATCATTCCTTGAGAAATGATCTGCCAGTCCTCGGCCAGTAATTAGAAGTCTCTTGATGTTTCTTGATGAGCAGCGGACATAAACAGATGACAAGTGTGCAGGTATGTACCGCTCAGGTTTAGGTGTTGCAGGCCCTTCATATCGGCGATAGAAGCAGGAAGGCAACAGAGCTGATTGTTGGATGCAGATACATGCATCAGACTTTCCATTTCTCCAATGCCACTCGGAATGGATTTTAAATCATTTTCGGAAATGTCGAGACTCTTGAGGTTTTTCAGCTTACACAGATCTTCAGGGAGATTTGTAATCTGGAGAAAAACATAAGTGTGGAGGATGTATCACATAAACACGTATCAGACATTGAAACTGAGATGCGTTCAGTATAAGGTATCTGTAGCAGTATTTGTCAGACTTAATAAATCATGTTAGTCTTTTCAGTGCCAATTCTTAACCTAGGTAACCTGCGGTGTGGGTTATTACATCTCTAATACCCATAGACATGTACATTTGTGTACTTAGCCCCACAAATTCTCTAAAATTGTTCCTCAGTTCTCCATTAGCAGTTCCCCACACCCAAAATGGAGGTGGTGAGGGACCAGAAGGGGCACTTAGGTGAGTATAACTTGCTTCACCAGGTAGAAAAAAACAAAAAACTCTTAGGATGGGTTTGAGGTGTGGGGGTCATAGTTTGCCCAGAGTGGGGATTAAACAGACAGAAGTGGCCCAGAAACATAAACACCTCTTGGCGTACATGCACTGTAGGCTGAGAAACTATAGACCATAGACATTGTCCATAGTCCAATACATAAAGTTTCATCAGGTTCCATAGACTCCCGAATGCCATTCGGGTCTGGGAGCCTCAGCTTTAGTAATATATGTATATGGCTCCCAGACCTGAATGGCATTCAGGATCAGAATTTCCAAATTGCGTTCGGGAGCTCCTGAATGCCATTTGGGTCTGGGAGCCATATACATATATTACGAAAGCTGAGGCTCCCAGACCTGAATGGCATTCAGGAGCTCCCAAATGCAATTTGGAAATTCGGATCCCGAATGCCATTCGGGTCTGGGAGCCTCAGCTTTAGTATTATATGTATATGGCTCCCAGACCCCAACGGCATTCGGGATCCGAATTTCCGAATTGCATTCAGAAGCTCCCAAATGCCAATCGGGTCTGGGAGCCTCAGGTTTAGTAATATATGCATACCGCTCCCAGGCCCGAATGGCATTCGGGAGCTCCCAAATGCACTTCGAAAATTTGGATCCCGAATTTAGGTCTGGGAGCCATATAGTTACATATATTACTAAAGTTGAGGCTTCTAGACCTGAATGCCATTCGGGTCTAGGAGCTTCAGCTTTAGTATTAATATATGTATATGGTTTTCTGTGGTATTCATAACGAATATTTGTAAACTCATCAAAAACTAACAAAAATGTGGATTTCGTCCAAATCTAAAACCCGAACCGAATTGAATTTCGGATCCGAATCCCGAAATAAGGAAATATCCTAACCAAATTTTTCCACAGCTTACATGTCTGCTGCCCAATATCCTAAAATGGAGAATAAACCCCTTACTTTTGGTTTACGTGATGGAATAAGACATGTGAATACCTTGTCTGTTAACTCTGTTGTGCTATGCACTGGTTTATTAGAGGGCTTGTTGTTTTCTATTGGCCCACCTAACCATAAACTGTCAGGTCATGCTTTCTCTAACAGGTCCAGATAAAAATCATGGCTGGTTTTGATCTGAACAAATGGCAATATAAAGAGGCTATGGCCAGAATTGGATATTTTTGGCCAAATCCTTTTTGTCCTCCCACATTTAAGCATTCAAAGTAGTGCAATATTTTAAAACCCATAAATTCAAATGCACATTTGTAAAATGTCACATGCAAATCCGACTCCCGAAGATATTTTTTTAGAGCCAGGTACACAAACATCAATGCTTGGATCAGACACGTGTGTACAGGTGAGCAAATATTTGATTACCTTGCTTCCCTTCTCCTGCTTGATATTCAGTGTCTCCAATGACAGAACTGAGCACACCTCACCAGGGAAAGCTTTGAAATTATTATTAGAGAGGTCCAGTTCCGTCAATGTTTGTAGCTGACTGATTATAGTTGGCACAAACTGTATGTGATTGTCTGACAGGTTCAGTCTATTGAGACTCTTTAAAGTGCAAAGTTCAGGGGGCAAACATGTAAACTTATTACACTGGAGAAGAAGATCAGTCAAAGAGTCCATCTCAGACACATTTGGTGGGACTTCACAAAGTTCATTCCTGCTCAGATCTAAGTAAATGAGATTGTTAAGTGTGCACAAGTAAACTGAGAAAGTGCTTAAGTTGTTTCCGCTCATCTCTAAATGTTTCAGCTGTCTGTTGTACACGATGGTCTCGGGTATGTTATGAATTTCATTTTTATTAAGGTTCAAATGTAGCAGTGCTATCATAGCGGACAAAGCTTGAGGAACTTCTACCAACTTGTTACCACTCAAGTCCAGCTGGGTGATTTGCAAACAGTTTTTCAGTTCAATTGGAATATAAATCAGCTGATTCTCAGCCCAGGCAATCGATGAAAGACGTTTCAAGAGAGACAGCTGCTCTGGTACAACTGTCAATGCATTTCGGTCAACTTGAAGCTCCCTCAGGTTTTTCAGCTTGTGAATCCTTGCTGGAAGAGCGCACATTTGGTTGCCACTTAAAATCAAAGTTTCTATACTTTGACATTTGCAGATACTCTCTGTAATGAACTGAAGTAAATTATTAGAAACAGAAAACACTTTGAGATGTTGCAGTTGTTCTATCTTGTCCGATAATCTGGTTAGGCGGTTGTTATCAAGAATGAGTTCTTCCAAGTTGGTCAAGCTGTAAAGTTGGACAGGTAAAAAAGTGAGCTGGTTATTACTCAGTGACAGTTCTCGAAGGGCTTTCAAGTTGCCAATTTCTTTCGGCAAACTTTTTATTTGGTTTCCACCTAAACAGAGCTTGACCAACTGCAGGAGCCTGAAGATGGCCTTGGGCAAGCTAGACATCTGATTGCCATCTAAATTTAACACATGTAGGTTTGTAAGATTGGCGACTGACTCTGGCAAAGTTTTTAGGGAGTTCCCACTAAGTCCCAAAACCTGAAGGTTTGCAAGGTCTCCGATACATGTAGGTAATTGTGTGAGATGGTTATTGTTGGCAAAGAGTTGTTTGATGTGCTGGAGGTTTGAGATACCATCCGGCAGGGATGAAATCTGGTTACGGTTGATGTTTAAGGCCTGCAGTTCAGAAAGATCTCCTAGTTCAGAAGGCAGACATTGCAGCTTGTTTCCTTCAATGGATAATTTCTGAAGCTGCGGGAGAAGCTTCACATCTTCAGGCAAGTGTTGAATAGAATTGTTGTCCAACTGAAGAGTCTTTAAGGTTGAGCATTGAAAAACATCTGCAGGAACTTCATTTATCTGCCTTCCGTTAAGGTTGACAGTGGTAATATTGTCTGTCTCCACTGACATTGTTGACAATGTTTCGAAATCTGTAGATGACAGTAAATATGCACAAATTTATGTAACTACAATACACCAAACGTGGCTTGTATGCTAAATTTACAAATGTTTATAGAGACAAAACCTAAAAACTATGTTAAAGGAACTCTATTGTGTTCTCAATGTATTTGTATTTTATAGACGCATGTGTAAAAGAGAACAACGTGATGTAAAAATCATTATTAATGCATGCGAATATATTAAAAACAGATCTGTTCCGATATACAGATACAATAATATATGTACACAGGGGCAGCAATATTTGCTTAATACATATAGATATCCCTGCTTTTTATTGCTACACAATGGTTGTACTGTACTGCTCCTTTTCACAATGCAAGGCTATGAGTCAGCCAGCTGACTTAAAACAATGCACTCCACTTTTGTGGCTGATATCTTATTCAGGGCCGTCCCTATAGTGAGGCAGCCTGAAGCAGATAAGAGCAACCAGTGAAACCCGTCCAGTCCAGCTTCCTGCCCAGCTCACTGATGTCATTGGTTGCCAGGGAGCTGAGTCGGATGCTCTGGTGGTGTCCCGCCAGGCTCCTGGCAACCAGTGACATCAGTGAGCTAGGTGGGATGGGACAGAGATCCGCACACAGCATGGCTCCAACACAGCCACCCGCCCCACCCCATCTGCCCTCCGGTTGACTGCTATCAGTGCAGCACCCCCCTGAAAGCAAAGCACTGTCAGCAGCGGCAAATTTCCCCCCTACCTGGCTCTATAGCCTCAGGCGGCATATAGGGAAGGGACAGCCCTGATCATAAGTAGAACACTAGTCAGCAACTCAATGCACAGCTAAAATACATACAGTGTGTTGCATACCTGCCATAGTATTTGTAATTTGTGGGGCCTTCCTGTGACACACACCTTTGCGGCTTGCTAGTTAGCATTGCCTGGTCCTGGTATAGTCAACACAATTCCAGTAAAATAAAGCCGCTTCATTCTCTCTCTTGCCTTGCTTTATTGTTAAAATGCGCAGACATGCACAGATAAACCTTGACCGTGACGAAGCCTTTGATGTATGTATGTAAGAATACAGCGGTTCCATTTTACTGACATTTTATAGGAAGCTGAATTGCTCACATCTGACCGTACATTGTTAACATTTTGTCAGATTCACAAGAATCGGCTGAAATTGTAATAGTGGGTGACCCTGCCAGCTCGGAAAAAGTTGACCTTGCCCATTCAGTGCAAAGGGCCTTAACCAAACCCCAACCCACTGAAGCCAACCTTGCAATCACCCTCTAATTCTTCCTCCATCGTAGCCGGTGCCAATACTTGTACAGGTTTCACTCAATACTTTGATTTGCTGGCTTTTTTGTATCACTGTGAAAAGGTTCAGCTTAGCAGTGGATACAATGTGGTATGAATGAGTAATCTAATCACCAGCAATCACAGCCTTATTCAGAACATGCCAGTGCTTTATTACTCACATTACTAAGTTGGCACAAGATGAGCTATTCAGCTTTATGAAGCAGAGAACAAGAAAACCTGTGAACCCCCAAAGGCTGCGAGGCAAAGTATCCCACCATGGCACATTTATTTCCCAATTCTGAGAAATGGCGAGTCAGTTTTTGGGGAGGGAGTCTTGTCACGTAAAATTTTAGAACACAAATTTTGTAAGGAAATTTTGTTTGTTACGTGTTAGACAATTATCACACCTAAAAAATTATTTATCAGATCCAGAAAGTAGTAGCCACTAATGGATCCTTAAAGGGGTTCTAAACCCTCCCGTTTGTTTGCCTATAGCTACTGCTATCAAGCAGTAGATATAGGCAAACAGTTTTTAAAAAAAAAACGCTAAAACAGCGGTTTAAACTTACCTTTTTTTCTTTACGCGCTCCCGCCCGAGAAAACGAAACTGTTCGGGCGGCCGCAAAGCATCTTGGGGCGGGCGCATGCGCAGTTCGGATTCTCGGCCGGGAGACGAGCAGAGACGCAAGGTAAGTGTATGGACGTGTGCACCCGCATGCAGACACCGCTGGATCGGAGGGACAGAGCAGTCAGCGCTGGTTCGGAGAGCCGCCGCACCGCTGGAGGGACAGATGAAAACATCAGGAAAGAAGAAGATGATCGGAAAAAGAGACATCATTTAAGGTAAGTGCTGACATTAACATGGGGGAAACATTTGTTTTACTTTAATGTCCCTTTAATACTGGGAGGGAGAAGTGGGAATCTTTTTTTGGCTCAAAGCTGGACTTTAATCTCAAAGTTACCTAACCCTAATCCAGGTCCAAGGAAATCCCAACCCCGATGTCTTAGAATTTTCAGCTGGCCCCTAAATTTTAAGTTCTTCTCTAGTTATTGTCACTGGAGCTGGCTTCCAAAAAGAAAATTCTGCTGGCTCCTGGATCAGACAGACTGGCTGCTAAATTCCTTATTATATTTGTCCACCTGTGCCCTGACCATCAACATTATCTCTATGCTCAACCCTTAACTCTGAACTTACAGGGTTATTCACAAAAGGGTGAAGAGTTTGGAGGAGTCAGGAGAAGGGAAGAAATCTAGGACAGTGAGCTGAATTGGAGAATTTTTCCAAATCAGCTATGTTGTCCTAGATTGTTCACTTTTCCTGACTCCTCCAAACTCTTCATCCTTTTGTGAATAACCCTGATAATGTCTAACACAACAGCAATGGTAGAGTCTTGTACCCTGTTAGTGCATAAGAAGAATGTCATCAGCACACCAAACGCAATGGTCAAGTGATCGTCCTTTATTGATGCATGCTGTCACAAAGAAGCAACGTTTGGGGGGGCCACTAAGGGTCCCCTTCATCTGGCTCAGTATGACATCTGTCACCACAAGGTGCCACAACTAGGGTGTGGGGGATGCGGCCCGCACCGGATGAATGACTGACAGTCATTTTGGTGTCACCACCTCTAAAAAGTCAGGCGCTCGGTCATGGACAAAGAGCCTGACAGCTGCAGAAGAGAGAGGGGGACCCTGTGTAGCCCCGAAACATTGCTATTTGTTTTGACATGAAGCATCAATAAACAGACGTGTTCTTCATTTTCACTTCAATATGGTATGCTGGTGACATCTTTAACAAGTTTCAGTATTGGCAGCGCCATCTGCGGTCACTTGCACCCACGCTGACAGGGATACCCGGTAAGGAGTGCAGCAGGATTCTGGTATACAAACCACCTTCTAAAAATGTGGGCACTCGGTCATGGACCAAGAGCCCAGCAGCTGCAAAAGAGAGGAGGGGAACCGGCGAAATACCTGAACCCGCGGGATGAACATCCTCTCCTCTCCTTGTAATGCACGTGACGTCATTACACACATGCATAATGATGTCACGCGTACACATAATGACATGAGCGATGGGTCCCGGCGGCTGCACCGGGCGACATCCGGCCTGGTGATGCCCCTGCATACAGGTGCAAGAGCTGACGTGGTTTAATAACTTCATCATGTACCAGAAATGTTTTGGGACAAATAATTTGCAAATTAAAAATGAGTTTTTAAAACTAACACTAATGAAGCTTTTATTGTACGTCATTGTAATACTTTTATAACAGCGCGCAAAAACTGTTCTGAACGAGGGCATTCAAGTGCGAGCGGCTGAAAACCCATTAGCGCTCAGTCACACCGGCGGGTGTATGTTAAGGTGTGCACAACGCGTTCACACTGATGTACATTTGTGCTGCGCAGCGCAAAAATGGAACATATCCTTTTTTTTATCTGAGCGCGTTGCTGTGCACTGAAGCAATAGGACACAAGACAAAGTGTCTTGTCTATGCGTTGGAACTGCATTGGGCAACGCAGCCCAGCAGGGATGGTGTGAGTGAGCCCTCGGTTCCAATAAGGGCCAATTCACACCAGCCGTTGCGCTAAATATTTCTATTGGTGTGCTTTGCCCGTCACAGTGCTGATGCACCGATCCCAGCACATTGCACTGTGTCCTGTTTTTCGTTTGGTCGAACTTTATTGAAATGTCACAAGTGACATTTCATGCCTTTCTACGGGCACAGCGTGGTGCCAGGCAGTTCTGAATCGCATTCCGTTGCTGTGCAAAAAGAGTACAGCATGTCATACTTGTTTTCAACGCATACCACAACGTTCCCATCGCAATGCGGTGCTGTGAACTGAGCCCGGCCGTGACAAGGCTAATTGCCTTGTCTTGGTGCTTCGCTGGAAACAAGGGCTAGCGCAGCCCCAATGCATGTGGCGTAAATCGGCCCTTGAGCACCTATTACACTTTGACTAGTTGTAACATTAAACACTGTCAATCCTCTCGAGTTGACATTTCTTTTGACCTGGGGACATATACTGCCGCATATACATTACAAGACACCCGGTTGTTATGGTGAAAGAAATTGGGTTAACTGCCATACAAACTACTTACCAGAGCTGTTCAGGAGGAGCAGGCCCGAAGAATCCTGAGACTTGGCGGAGAGGATTAGGATCCCGGATTAGGGGACAGAACATTGAAGGAAGGTCGACGAGCAGAGCTTTACTAAACCAAAGTTACATTTCTCCTGTCAGGAGCTCGTTCTACACTGCAGCAGTGATTGCAAGCACCGGGTGAAGACATGTCACCATGGAGACGTACATAAACAATGGCTGAAGGAAATGTAGGGACTCCAGCACACTGGATGTGGTCACCAAGTGTTTGCTCTTGCTATTTCTCAGCAAAGGCCATTCCCGTACTCCAAACATGTCTATTCAATGGCTGCGCTGAGCTGACAATAGGAAAGTGACAGCTCGGGTGATTCATTCATGATGACAAGGGCCTGTGGATAATGGGTTTGCAGAGCGCAGAGGAGGCCATATAAACATCCTGTACTAAAGCCACCTCTTCTGGTATGACAGTAAAGTGCGTTCACTTAACAACTTTCCATAGCGACTCCTCGTAGACACACAGAGGACGAGTCACTAAGAATGAACTTCTCCAGTTTGCTCGCTGTTGGTTAAGTGAAAATTCCCATGTAAAGTGAACGGCCTATTCGCCTTAAATGCGTTTAAGCTAAGGTGACCAGATTTTTTAAATCATACTCCCCCAAATGTTCCGATGCTTAGCCCGATAACCAAACTTCGGGTATCAGGAAGCCGGGCAGCGAGTCATTACACGGCGCCCAGCTTCCTGATTAGCCAGAAAGCCGTCTTCAAGCTCCCCCGTCCCATGGTGATATGGAAGCATGGAGACGGCTTCCCTGCTAATCAGGAAGTCAGGTGGCGAGTAATTACACGCCATCTGGCTTCCTTAATGTGACTTTTGATATCAGTATTCGGTATCGGCGAGTACCGAAGAAAATTATCGGTACTCGATACCGAAAAAAACGGTATCGGTGCATACCAACAAATCTCTGGGAACATAATATGTATATATATATTTTATACTCACCTGATCCCTGGAGCCACCGACGAGCTCAGCCTCCCGTCTCCCACACTGTCAGAAGCTGCATACAGTGTGTGCCGGTTACTATTTAAACCGGTGCGCGCTGTATGCAGCTTTTGAGATGATACGCTAGTAGCACAGCAGGAGCTAGGCAAAATGCGCAGCTGGCTTCCCCACTACGCTAATAGCGTATCTTCTTAGAAGCTGCATACAGCATGTGCCCATTACTATTTAAACCGGTGCGCGCTGTATGCAGCTTCTAAGAAGATACGCTATTAGCGTACCGGGGAATCCGGCTGCGCATTTTGCGTAGCTCCTGCTGTGCTAATAGTGTATCATCTCAAAAGCTGCATACAGCGCACCGGTTTAAATAGTAACGGGCACATGCTGTATGCAGCGTCTGACGGGAGCAGACGGGAGGCTGCGCTCATCGGTGGATCCAGTGACCACGTGAGTATATAAAAAGAAAACATTTTATTTTATGTTCCCGGGGACATAATTTGTAGAGGACAGTCTCCTCAATCTGGGGACTTTCCCCGGAAATCGGGGACGAATGGTCACACTACTTTAGGCTCCATTCACAACTAGGCGTCAGCGTTTTTGCGTATCTCTTCGCAGATTTTTGTGGCCATTTTTATGCTCGTACATTAAGTTCGTGCATTTTACCAGGCAGATTGTGACTAAAGCGCGTACAACAAGCACAAAAACAAGCAAAAACAAATGTGTTGCTCATTTCCAAGCATTTCCCATGGAGTCTATGGGGACAAAACGCGCTGTAATCTACCAAAAAGACGCTCCTACTTTCTCCAGCGACAAGTGTTTTTCTATGTGCACCACTACCCTCAGAGATACATTTCTTGTCTTGCATGTTTCAGTGCACAGTTATGTGTGACAAAACGCCAAGGTGTGCCTGGCAGGGCTGGACAAGTGCATTTTTTTAAGTAACCTTTTCAGCCCAACACTGCAGCCCGTGAATGGACAGTGGTAGGATAAGCAGAAGACTGACGAGGTCATCTCTCTGTCACTCTGCTTTCTCTTCCTATCAACATGAGCACTGCAGCACAACTGACTGGCTACTTGTGTGGCTTCTCCTTCTCTCAATCTGAGCTCTGCTGTAAAGTGGACTGCAGGAGGATGATGCCAGGCCCATTTCTGGTACTGCTCAATTTTAAAGTGACACTAAACTCAGGAGTTAAATCTTAAAAATACATTCAAGTAACATTACTGCATCTTATTTGTGTATCACTCGGCTGTAGATCCTCCAATCTCTGAATTGGTGCTGACACTGTCCTTCCTTCTGGAGGGGGGCTACTTTTGTCCCCATGGTCCCTGTGTGTGTTGTAAAGTAGTCACCGCTCCAAGCTCACTCCCGCGATGGACTACAATCTCAATACAAAATAGTAAACTAAACATGAGATTGTAGTTCATCCTGGGAGCGAGCTTCAAGCTGGAGTTGGGTTTTAATTTGCTTGTCACTTAGCCCCTTATACAGGCGCCGTCTATGCGGCGTGCACGCCTGTATGGGGCAATTCCCTGGAGGGATAGGTGCTGCGTGTGATTGCACACAGCAGCCTGTCCTTCCCTATGGGAGGACACGGCTGTACGCTGTCATATGCACATCCGTGCGGGTCTGGGTGTCCGTGCTTGGACCCAGGCAGGATCCAGGTCGCGTTCTCCCATAGGGAAGGAAAGGCTGCTACACACAGCACCTGTCCCTCCCGGGAACAGCCCGATACAAGCGTGCACACCGCAAAGACGTGTAAGGCCCGAGTTAATGCAGTGTGAATGAGGCCTTAAAGTTCTTCTAGCTACATATCCATGTAAGACTACCCTGTTCATAGGGTGACACTGCTGTGTGATTTACAGCAGAATGAACAGTGTTGTCACCCTGTTTAAGGAAGTGGAAATGTAACAGATTTTACTGGCAGGATGAACAGGTAATAACACCAGTGTGGGCATTTTATAATGTATCCATTCTTCTTTTCTCCTCCAGATACTGCTGGCAAAATGAGATACTATCACCACCTAGAGGACACTGAGGGTTATGACTCTGCAGCTCGGAGGGAATTAGTTGGAGGTTTTATGTTTCTTCTGTGTTGTATAAAGTGATTACAGAGTTAAATAAAGTCTATTCCTGGCAAAGTGAATATGTTAGGAGTGTCCGCCACCCTAGTGGGTAACCTGGCTATGATATACGGACAGCAATCCCTATTATGTGTTGACATTTCGGCTAGGTTCAGTACATACTAGATATGCTGGAAAATGCACGCAGTCATCAGATCTGTGTTTTCCCCATGTTCCTGTGTATTTTATATATATCATTAGATAGACCCAATTTAACTGATTCTTACTGATAATTTAGGGAAGTTGAGCAAAGGCATTTCATTTTTTAATTAAAATGTATTATATTACACACACAACCCCCTCCTTTTTATTTGCATCCTGTAGTGAGGAAGAAGCTTTTATTACTCCCGGTGATGTCATCACCAGGCTTGTAAAATTCTTACCGGGTTGGCTGTTGGGAGGTCAGTTCCTATTGATGCAGCGAATCTCCTTTTGCTCTGGGAGAGATTTCCCCTTACTTTCTGTTGTGACTTTGGGAGAGGAAATGAAGGGAAATCTTATGACACAGGTGTCATAATCTTCCTCTACTCTATCCAACACCTAAAAAAAGTTTTGGCTCTACATTGACTGTGAATCCATTGCATCTTCCAAAGGCACAAGTGCTAGTTTATAAATATTGTGGCCAGAGTACAGCAGGGTGAATGCTGTTCACACAGAGACAGCCAGGAGAGAGAGCAAGGAGAGACATCCTGGAGAGCCAGGAGAGACAGCCAGGAGAGAGCGAGGAGAGACAGCCAGGAGAGAGAGCCAGAAGAGACAGTCAGGAGAGAGAGCCAGGAGAGACTGTCAGGAGAGAGAGCCAGGAGAGACAGTCAGGAGAGAGAGTGAGGAGAGACAACCAGGAGAGAGAGCCAGGAGAGACAGACAGGAGAGAGAGGAAAGACAGCCAAGAGAGAGCCAGGAGAGAGAGCAAGGAGAGACAGCCTGGAGAGCGAGGATAGACAGCCAGGCGAGAGCGAGGAGAGACAGCCAGGAGAGAGAGCAGGGAGATACAGCCAGGAGACACAGTCAGGGGACAGAGCCAGGAGAGAGAGCAAGGAGAGACAGCCTGGAGAGCGAGGAGAGACAGCCAGGTGAGAGCGAGGAGAGACAGCCAGAAGAGAGAGCAGGGAGATACAGCCAGGAGAGACAGTCAGGGGAGAGAGCCAGGAGAGACAGTCAGGAGAGAGAGCCAGGAGTGACAGTTAGGAGACAGAGTGAGGAGAGACAACCAGGAGAGAAAGCCAGGAGAGACAGACAGGAAAGAGAGGAAAAACAGCCAAGAGAGAGCCAGGAGGGCTGTTTTGTTCTGCAGTTTCTTCGCGCAGATTCGGAGGCTCGTTGCATTAAAATTAGTTTCCATTGATGAAATGAATGAAAATGTTTTTCATTTTCATTTGTTTCGTCCGAAACAAATGTTTTTGCCCTGCACATGTCTAGTATCTTACAGTCATACTGTAACCTTTACATGTCTTTCCTCTCTGACTTTCTTTGGGTTACAATGTTGTCCCAGTAACGGTTCATGTAGAAGATGTTACCGACCTTCCCGCCAGCTGATACATCTCTGGACGCGATTGCTATTTGCACTTTGTATACTGTTTTATGTATTGTTATCCTGTGTTTCCATTCAGATATCCTATTTGGTGACTGTTCGGGAACTTTAATGCCCCTTATTCTTACTGTCTATGTTCCATGTTGAAATGTAAAAACTTCTAATAAAACTTTCTGAACATAAACAATTGCAGAAGTCACTTATTACTGTAAAATAAGCATTAGTAGGGAAAGAAGAAGGCTGCGTGCTCTTTTACTCAACCCATTCAGTGCTTCTTATTCACTGGTAACACGTATGTAGCATGCAGGTCTGATAATAAGGTAACTTAGTAATGTATACACTTTGCTCTGCCTGTCACATGTGTATTGCAACCATGCATTTGTGTACAGGGCAGGCCCAGCTGGGCGTCCACATGTAAATCTAGATTCTGATTGGCTTTTTGTCGCCATCGTCATGCAAGTAGCCTTTGTGAGTTGGAGGAAGCGTGTGACTGTACAGGGAAGTCAGAGCAGCAAAGACCAGGAATGTCAGAGAACAGGAGGAACAGGAGTGAGCAGACACCAGGGACAGGACAGGTGCTCACACTACACCATCCTCATCTGCCTCCACATGCAGCTACTACAATAGAGACGTTTGCAAAGGGATCCATGCGCTTCCATCATTCTGCTAAATATTTCCCATTGTGGAGAACTGTATGACACTGCAGCGGTGGCGGAGAATTGAATAAAACCGCCATTTAGTGTAAAAGTCATGGAAACAGAAGTGGAGCCGAAACGCACGGACTGTCACGGTGAGTACAATGGTGCTTTGATTTTAATGCTTTTAACTTGTTCATTTCTATCCGGACACACTATGATGTGCTCTGGGAAGGGTGTGCAAGTCATTCTGAACTGAGAAAGCTAGTCGGATGACCAGCGAAACATCTTCAAGAAAAATACAGCAAGTCCAGTTGCCTTGATTTATTTTTTTAAAGAAATACGATGACCTGGATGAATGAGAACCTTCACAGACATCTGAGGTGTAACTACAGACCATTTATCCCCATCAGTGACCTTCCTACGGTCAATGATCATGTGTGTAAATCAAGGGCAGGTAGCAGGAGAGCTGTCAGCATAGCCAGTACTTTACTAGGAACCGGTGGTGGGCGGGGGACTTGGTGTGAACCGAGTTTGGCCAAGCCAACTCAAAACTGCCACTGACACCCCCCTCCTGACCCAGTCAGTTGTGGCAGAAGAATTCTTCCGTTTTTGACGTGTAGCTGCGGGGCAGGGAATGCACCCGGCCTCAGCTGATTGGGCCAGAGGGGGGTGTGTGTGTCAGTGACAGTTTTGCGCGGGCTTGGGTGAATTTTGTTTGCACTAAGACCCTGTGTAACGTTACTAGGGACCAGTGCTGTGGATAGAACGTGTAGGGGAAGAGGGGCAACAATGCAGGGAATTCACTTTTATGGCTCATACACAAAAGGTGTGAATGGTGGTCAATGCTATTGTGGCAGCTGGTTGCTAAAATCCCCTAGACAGGCTATGGATGACCGGTATTCCAGCAGCTCCACAGGGGGTGCGCTACAAAAGGCACTGCCGCCCAGAAGAAGGGACCCTGCGTGGCCCCGAAACGTTGGCTGTATGACGCATGTGACGATTTAATAAAAAGTGCTTTACTTCTTACACATATCTTCGAGTGCTGGTGACTTCTATTATGGACTGTATCTGACACGGCGCCATCTGTATTGTCACTTCAAGCGCCAACCTCTCATCCAAGGTCTGTATGCTGTACGGTGTGCAGGTGATTTTGTATTAACAAAATTATAGACAACATTTTTTTCTTTTATTTTTGTTGAAGAAGGACAGGGTTCTGTTTCCATTTTGGGTGAGTTGCAAAGACTTGGTGGGAGGTTTTGAACCCCGACCCATTCCATCCAAAAACAGGCCAAGATTTTGTTTCCATTTAATGCCTGATCAGATTACTGCTGGTTCATAGTACATGGGATATTATACAACAGCATTATTCACAGTCACATGTGAGCGGCATTTGTAGAAGAACCAGCCTAATCATATTCTCTAATACAAAATAAGTAATGTGCAAAGTGCAGAATTTGTCCCTTCATGGCCCTGAGTCTTCTCAGATGATGGATTCTGATTGGCTGTTTTAGTTTGCTGCTCTTTGCTGTTCCTCATAGATCTGAATAGCCTCTGGGAGCAGATGTTACTGTTGGGTGGTGGTAAGTGCACATCATATATGAGGTCCCTGAGGTTTTGTGTGTATTTTCCACAGCTGCTGACATGCTATTTCTTGCAGGATCCTGTGTCAGCTACCTGAAGTCTCCAAGGTTTCTCATTTATCTTGGCCACTCTCTGTCCACCTGGGTAAGATTATTTGAAAATAAAATTTTTGGTCTGAATGAGTAGTATAAGTCCCACGAGCCTGACAAGGATTACCCAATCTGTACACTCTACGCAATGTGAAAACTTACTCCAAATGGTACCTAATTAGAAGGATCAGGAAATCCCTGTGTCCCCGTTTCCCCCCTCACATGTCCCTCATTTTGGTCTAATGCACACTCCTGTATAAATATACTACTGTATATGGTTAAAACTTAGTGGACGCCTGGCCATCAAACCTATGGGAGTTTGTTGGACATCCTATTCTAATGTGAATTAATATTAAGTTGCCCCCCTTTGGGGTTTCAACACCCTTCACTCTTCTGGGAAGGCTTTTCACAAGAGTTTAGGGGGGTTTCTGAGAAAATTTGCTCCCATCCAGCCAAAAGAGCATTTGTGAGGTCAGGTATTGGTGTTGGATGAGAAGATCTGGCTCACAGTTGGCATTTCAATTCATTCCAATGGAGTTCAGTAGGGTTGAGGTCAGGGCTTTGTGCAGGCCACTCAAGTTCATCCACACCAAACTCATCAAACTATGTCTTCATGGACCTGGCTTTGGGCACAGAGCCACAGTCATGGTAGAACAGAAAAGAGTCTTCCCCAAACTGTTACCAAAAGGTTGGAAGCACACAATTGTCTACAATGTCTTTCTATGCTGTAGCATTAACAGTGCCCTTCTCTGGAAACACCTGAACTGAAAAATTTTGGGGGGGGGGTGTCCACATAATTCTGGCCACATAGTGTAAGGGTATTACATAAATGCCAATATTTATATTCCACTATTTTTTAAGAGCATTTTAGCTTAAAAATAGCCTTGTGCTTTAAATATAATAACAAATAAGTAAATATAATAACAAATAAGTGAGCTCAATCCACTACTCAATAAGCTTAGGTTTCATCAAGTATTTTTTCTTTACAGGGGGATCGTATGTGGCACTTCGCTGTCTCTCTCTTCCTAGTAGAGCTGTATGGGAACAGTTTACTTCTGACTGCCATCTATGGGCTTGTGGTGGCCGGCTCTGTTCTCCTGCTTGGGGCCATCATTGGAGCATGGGTGGACAAAAACCCCAGGCTGAGAGGTAGATAAAATTTGAGTCCATTGTCTTCTCATACCATGACAACACCACCGATAAAGAAGGATTCCCTCTATAGGCAAGGAATTAAATGTTAACATATGTTAACAATATGTAAAGTTAACCTGTCCTTAAAGAATTACAAAGTGTCATGTTGCTTCTCAGTTAAATCCTCATTCAAATCCTGCTGCAGGCGTACCTAGAATTCGAGTGTTCCATTTAGTGGTTCAAGCTTACACCTGCCCTTGATTAGTCTACAGGCTTGCCCTCACATCATCTAGTAGATTTCATTATTCTACATCTTCGGAATTGCTGTTGACAATGCAACCGCAACCTTGGAGCAGTTCCTCACCATAGCTCATCAAAAACAAACCTTCGGGGCTTAAATTCACCTTGCAGCAAGGAGGGCAAACTTCCATTGTGACATTGTTGGCTCTCTTCTTAAATTGCTAGTTGCCTATCTGTTAGGCAGACCAGGAAAGTCAAAGAAATGTCAGACATTCTCAACTGCATGCTCATTCCAGGCCAGTGACTGAAACTATTGAAGCTAGATTGTTGGCATGACCTCCAAGTAACTAGCATTTTCAGAAAGAGAGGTCAACAGTGGCAGTCTCCAGGTTTCTATGATGACAGGTTTACTTTAACAGCACAGTGCCTAGAATGCTACACGTGGGACCTAACTCATAGCCCAAAGCTATGTGTAAGAAAAGCACCATCACACAGAAGACAGTGGTCAATTTATATGAGGGATGGAGTGCACTGTTATATGTACAGGGAGATGCCTTACACCTTAGTACTCTTTTGTCATCATAAGCGTTAATATAGAAGTTTTAACATTCTGTTTGCTTTTTTCTCTACCTTTTTACAGTAGCGCGGACTTCGCTGGTTGTGCAGAATGTCTCTGTAATTATCTGTGGAATCATTCTGATGGTGGTCTTCCTGTACAAGGCAGAACTGTTATCCATTTATCAAGGATGGTTGTTGGTTAGTCCTTTTGTAAATTGATCATACTGGGCTCTATGTTTAAAGGCAGAGCCAGATAAAGACAATGATGGGCCATTTGGCGTTAAAGCTGAACTCAAGGCTGAATGCTAAATGCTCAGAATAAATACATTAATTAGAGCTGTTGTATTTCTGTCCATTTGTTCCTGAGATTTCACAGCCTTACCACACAGTATTACCCGTCTGGAGACCTGACTAATATTTACTCTAGTTAAATAATACAATCAGGTCTTGTTCGTGACATTAACCTGTGCCTGGACAGTGAAAGGAGCAGCAGCAGACTGATGAGCTCATCTCTCTGTCACACTGCGCTTTCAGCATATTCCTTGTTAGCACAAGAGCACTGCAACACAACTGACTGTCTCCATGTGCTGCTTTTCCTTCTCCTAGTCTGAGCTCAGGCAGGGCCAGATTTCTGTATAGCCAACAGAGGCCTAGGGCAGGGCTGCAGGGCTACCAGGGCTGACACACAATGATCATCACATCAAATTGCTAACTGCCAGTAATACATTCCTGTATATAAATAAAAATACTCCAGATAGCTACCTTGCCTTTGTGCAGGAATGAGGATGACTGTGTATTGGGTTGATACACCTAGAACTGAACTTCAAGCAGAATAGAGTGGTAGTTTATGGCTGCGGTTCTTGGTGGTTGTAGCAAATATTAGACATGTGCGATTCGTTTAGTTTCGAATCGAAATTCAGACGAAATTTCGGAGATTCGGATGTATCCGAATTACAGATATAACGAATGCAAACGAAATGGAAATGAAATTTCGTACAGATTACCGCTAACGAATTTCATCCGCATCCGAATTCCAAAACGAATTGACTTTCAGACCCGAAAAACGAAATAACGCAAAATCTGAATCAAAACGAAACGAAACAAATTTTTTGCTGGGGCACATGTCTAACAAGTATATAAACAAGAATATTGAAGGCTGAAGTTGAGTAGGGTTCCATGTAAACAGCAGTTAAACATAGGACAGTCAGTCCTAAGAGACTTTCTATTTGTAACCTCAGGGGGTACTAGCTATTGTAGGTACTCAGGGGGTACCAGCTGTTGTAGGAACTCAGGGGGTACTAGCAACACAGGGAGACATGACAAACCTCTGCAGTCTTTTTTAAGAAATCTTTTATCAACAGAAAAATGTAGAAAACAGGAACGAGTGACTGCCCTTCCTCCAACACATTGCCACTCTTTTAGGAAGTTCAAGAGATTAACAATAAAAACAGCAGTGCATGAGGGTTTGGGATATCAAACTTCACTATTTCAACAAATGAGCATGAAGCTGTCTGCCCACACCACAAACACAGAGGTAAGGGTAGTGGGCAAAGACTGGAACCTGTCCCCCTGCCCACATAGTAATTGGTTCTAGAAGTACCCCTGCAATGCAGGCAAGCTGCCTGTTTCAGCTTTTCCATCCCCAGTCTTGGGATGCCTTTGACATGATTTCAGTAATGTGATACTAAGGTTAGCTAGTTGACTAGAATAAGGTTGAAGGGTAGCATAAGGTCTACAAGGTGTAGGATGTATAACTCTTGCCCTGTATACAGATACAAGTATCAATTCGCATGGAGTTCCACTTTAAACTAGAAAACATTATGCTGGAACATCTCTACAGCCAATAGCCAAATGTTCCCTTTCTCCATCTGATGCTTTTTCTGGAGGTGGACCTCATTCTAGTATCTGCTAGATCAGTGGTTCTCAACCTGTGTAGCCTCAGGACCCACATTTGTCCTCGGTCATTAAGTCGCGACCGAAGCTGCACTGCGATGGAACACACGGCAGTGTGGGCTGCTGTGCTGTGACGGAGCTCCATCCATATGTGCATTGTTTGTACAGCTCCAATGCGCACCTGTAGAGGTGCCGGGAGCCAGAATGTGATGTCCCTCCAGTCCAGGCACCTCTACAGGACACGCAAGGGAGCTGTAAGCAATGCACGTAAAGGAGGTGCTCCCAATGAGGCCATACCTCCAGCCCAGCCCACCTCACCTCAAGTCGACACTCAGCGCTGGTCAGCATATTTTAAATGGCTGCTCGGTGTGAGAACTGACAGTGCTGCTCTAGGGGGAGGCTGAGGAGGCTTTCACCTAGAAAAGTGGAAGGCATGCGGCGACCCACTGATCACAGGGTCGTGACCCACTTTTGGGTCACGACCCACCAGTTGAGAACCAAGGTGCTAAAGACTTGTGATCTTTTGCTGCCTGTCATTCTAGGTGATAAATCAGATCCTCTATGGCCACTCTAGGTGCCCTTTTACACGAGACTGCATTTTCCTGTGTTTTCATTATAAAATAAATTCTAAAAAATGGACATTAAACAGAAAAGGAAACGTTGCTCTTAGCAGCTAGATACATGGTGTCATCTCTTTCTCCCTTCTTTCCTAGATTCTGTGCTACATCTTAGTCATCTCAATAGCAGATGTTGCCAATCTGGCAAGCACAGCCATGTCTATCACCATTCAGAGGGACTGGATTGTTGTGATCGCTGGAGGTGACAAAGACCAACTAGCAGGTGAGATCTTTTCTTCTTCCATTCACCTATGTTAAAGAGTCAGCGTACCCAGAAGTCAAGTCTTACGGGTTGAGTCACTCTTTGATTTCTTGTTTGCATTTTGGGATTCAGCCGTACTGCTTTAAAGGACCTGCCCACCCGGGGTGCCCACTTTGTACCGAAGACCTGTATGTCCTCATCACAATGACGAAGAAGGAGACATCACCACCAGAGTTTCCAAGACATCTGAGAAACTGTTGGGTGGCTTAAATTCCCAGAACCCAACAAACATTGAAGTATCACTTGTTGACAGACTGGCCCTTTAATTTTTTCATGCGGTCATGCAAACGTTTTATTGGACTGTTTCAAATACCAAAATATCCAAAAGAAAATACTAGTTTTGGGGTTTGACACCAAGATTGAGCCACTTACTGAATTCTTATATTTTTCCAGAGCTCCATACTCCAGACAATCCCCGTAGCAACCTTTAAGAGGTGCTCTGAGACTAGCTGTTGAAATGTTCATTTATTTCGATTTAAAGAGAATGCAGATGTAAGACTGAGACTTACTTGCTTGGTTTTATATTGGCTGGAAGAGGAGGTAGAGATGAATTATTGCTGTGGGGACATCTCATATCTACAATGTTTTTTTTCTAAGCAGCTGGTCCCAAAGAATGCAGTTTAGGCATCTAGGGTAGGTGGGGAGGGCTATGTGCAACTTGCTGCCCTTGGAGAAGTTTCTCCGCAAAGGTGGAGCTCATACATGCCCTCCTCCCCTCAGACCTTGGCTTAGGAGGGTTACTGGTGTACAGAAAGCAAATTATGCAAGGGGAATGGCACCTTGGACATATGTAATATATTATCATTAGCCAATTAAATCTGAACTCCAGGCAGATTCAAATTTTTTAATCTAAATTATAACATTTTAGGCCCCATTCACACCTAGGCGTTTTTTCATGCGTATTTGTCTGCACTGAAGCGTTCAAGACAAGAAATCACCTTTATTTCTATAGCCCCCATTCACACCTAAGCATAGAGTCGCGTGTAAAAAAAAAAAACTCCTGTCGCTGGAAAAAGTACACAAGCTTTTTCATCAATATGTCACAATCTGCTCACAAAAATGCGCGACTTCAAATACACGCAAGCAAAACAAATGGCAAACGCACTCATCAATTTGTTAGCAGCTTTACAGCAAGGTTCACATGGAAGGGCCTAATACAGTACAAACAGCAAAAAAAATTCCCAGCACACTTGCCAGCCAGCATGCAAAAAAACTTGTGTAGCGCTCACCCCCGAAGGAGCCGCTGGATGATCGGGTCTTCTGTATCACCTCTGTGACACACCACAAACAATGAATCCACAGCACACCTTGTGAGATTTTAAATAACTATTTACTGTATATAATAATCTGAATCGCAGTATACAACATCAACATTTATCTCTACACAGCATAACACAGAGACTGTATATGAGACATCAGCATAACAGTGATGATCAGTAAATGCGGTTATTCTAACTGTGAACTTGTTGGACAGTAATCAAACTGTATATATAAACTTAGTCCCAATGTACCCGGGTACCTAACCCACTGGCCAGTGGTAGTTTCTTCAGCTAGCCAACGTTGGGGCCCAATACAAACGGTGAAAATCTGTGTGTACTGTTAATGACAACAGGCCGGAGGCCTCTCACCCATACACGGAGGGAGATGTCCGTCTGTAGCCGGCAGGGATGTCAGCAATTATCTTCTGTGATGAAGAACTGTATATAGGAGCTGAAGTCTGATGTCATCAGGGGTTCTGGTCATCAGATTTGGCGTCCGTCCGGGCCGAGTCGCCGCCCACAATGGCCTCTCAGCAGGATGGCACCTCACTCACAGCCCCAGAGGATCCTCTTCCAGACAGGAACAAACAGCGATTTACTCTGTGCAGCAGATGTCACTTCAGGACTGCACGTGTGACAAGTGAGCACAGTCTCTCCACAAGCTGGCTGCACAACACAAGCAACAGCAGTCTGGCCTCCCTGTCTCCTCACACTAGACTGAGGCCAGCAACCTTAAGCCCCCCAGAGTTTACTTCCCTTCTCCCCTGTAGCATTCTGGGAACTGTAGTTCAAGTATCCATTTTCATTTGTAATTCCTCAGTGGCTGTGTCCACAATCCCCACAAAGCTGTGCTCTCTGGCTCCACCTGCAGCTGCAATATCTTTTCTCTTAAAGGAGCTGAAATCACAAGGCTACACTTGTCTCAGCGCTAAGATTTCAGAGGTTTAGATACCCGTCTTCTGCAGAAAATGTGAAAGCTGCACAGCCGCGCCAAGGCACCTTAGCGGTGAGACAAGTTTTTTTGCATGCTGGCTGGCGAGTGCATTTGCCATTTGTTTTGCTTGACTGATTTGGCGCAGTGATGCATGGGGGTCTCAGCTGCCTTGTGATGGGCGGGATCCCTTGTGCGTCCCTGTGCCTTTAAGGGAGGTTGAGCTTCCTCCTGACAAACCTGCACCCAATTTGATCTTTTGCCATGTGTGCTCCAAGATGGAGACTCTCATTGTTTAGAGTTAGGATCACACTACACAGAGGGGCCTTGGCGCGGCTGTGCGGCTTTCACATTTTCTGCAGAAGACGTGTATCTAAACCTCTGCTTTTAACCTTAGCTCTGAGACAAGTTTTTTTGCATGCTGGCTGGCAAGTGTGCTGGGAAAAATTTTGCTTAAAATACATGCATACACACGTGTAAAAACCAGCATTAAAAAAACGCACGTAATCTGCACTGAAACGCTGTCGCCTTGGTGTGAATGAAGCCTTAGGCTGAATATGCACTATGCAATCTGAAGGAACAATCTATTTTAGATCTGCCATCAAATATGTAGTACAAGAGCCTACCTCATTTGGTACTAATTGGATGGATTGTTAAGGGTCGTCCTCATATTACATGGTTTTGGTAAATCTAAAGGAGCTTTTAGAGATTGTATAGTGTATGGCTGTCTGTAAACACATCTCCTGTAGGTACCTGAATTCTGTCTTCATTAATTCCTGTAATCCTCTGTGCAGCAACTTCAGAATAGAAAGGGAGCATCAGCAGGAGACAGTCTGGGCTCCATTGTTCTACAATATGAACTTGTTTATAGAAGAGCAGAGCACAGGGATGTCCATTGTGTAGCTTCTTTTTCATTGTCCCTTCAGGCCCGGTTCACACCTGGGCGTTTTGTAGCGCTTTCCTACGCTCTGCAAAACGCTCAAACACCGAAATCCCATTATTACCTATGGGCATGGTTCACACCTGGGCGTATTACAGGCCGTATGAACGTGCTACAAAACGCCCTACGCCCAAAGAAGTACAGGAGCTTCTTTGGGGCGTATTTGCCGCGCGTATCCATTGGGATACAGCCAGGTAGCCCTCGGAAACACGCATATTCGATACGCCTAGGTGTGAACACAGCCTTAGCCTGTTCACATGATATCAGGTCTGGATCAGGTGCGGATCTGCAGACTCGGTGCTAATGATGCAGTGCGTTTTTGATGCGTTCCAGTTAAAAAAACAAAATATTTTTATTTTTTGGCTGGAGTGGGGCTGTCAGTATGTTAGCTGCAGTGCGTTTGACACGTTTTTGACGCGTTTTGCGTTTCCGGTCCGTTTCCTGACCGGACAAAATGTGACATGCAGTATTTTTTCTGTCGTAACCTGAACGGACTGCACACGTGAGAACTGTAGCCCATAAAACACATAGGTATACATTGGGATGCGTTTTTAGTGCAGGAGCGTACGGATCAGGTCAGCACAGAAAACGGACTGTCGTGTGAACAGCCCCTGACCATGTGGTGCTGCCTAATTGCAGTGGAGGTCGGGGTTCTGTCTTTGCAGTCTACCAGGGACATCTGAATCACAGGATTGGCCTAACAGAATTAGCACAGTACACATATATGCATTTTGACTGTGTGTTTAGCTGTTTGACAGGAATTATGCTTTACTATATATTTAAAAAACTATTATAATCAAGTGCACAGTTGGCCCTGCAGTACTGGTGTCCGTTCGCATCAGCTCACTATCTACATGGAGTTTGAACGTTCTCCTTGTGTTTGAGGTTCTTCTGATTCTCTCATTTCCTGAACTCGGCCCTAATAATGGTGTGTCCATATGACTGAGAGAGGAACATGATACTGTCAGCTTCTTACACAAGAATATATTCTTTAAACTAGAAACAAAACATCTTTAAGGCTCCATGGGTTTGGTTGCAGCTGATATATTGCTTTTCTTCAAATCAGATATGAATGCTACGATGAGGCGGATTGACCAGCTGACAAACATACTGGCTCCCATGGCTGTTGGACAGATTGTAACCTTTGGTTCTTCAGTGCTTGGCTGTGCCTTTATTGCTGCATGGAACTTTGTGTCTATGTGTGTAGAGTACCTGGTGCTGTGGAAGGTCTACAAGGAGACGCCAGCTTTGGCTTTCAAGGCGGGAAGGAAGAGGGAACAAGAAATGAAGCAGCTGAATGCCAATGGCATTGGTAATACCTATTTAGTGTGATACCTAGAAAATACTGCAACTAGAACATCCTTGTGCTTTGGTAATTTATGACTGTTATGCCATTCCTAAACTTGTGTTATGTCCTAATAAGTCTCATCTCACAATGAATGGAATGTATGGAAAATGTCCTGTCTGCCACTGCTGGATGAGGTGGGGAGATTACCCTGCTGGGGCTCAAACACAGCTCTAGAGAACTGGTGGTTGATCATATCCTTTCCTGGTGTATCTAAAGAAAAGAAACAGAGGTGGAGATCCACTTTAATTGCTCAATGTGGCCTGCAACCAAGTTGTTAATATACGGTTTATGCTATGGGTTCACAGTTTCCTATAGGAGCAGCCAAGTTAAAGGGACCATTTGTATGAACCTTATTGTGACTGCCTTCATAGAATGAATCCTCCACTTCCTTCATTGCTGTGTGCCCCTGTTGGGCATGTTTGCCTACACTCCCTACCCCGGTGACCACACAGCAAGTGAGGGGAAATGTTAACACTGAGGTTATAGGCAGCAGTTAATACCTGACTATCTTCTGGGCTTTACTTTTCAATCTGCATCTAATACTGCCAGGCAGTTTAAATATCAGTTTTTCCGAGCACAACAACTGTACAGGTTTCCCAGAATTTCACACCATTTTCACAGAAATCTGCCCAGAGCTTGAGTTCAGATTACAGGCATTCCCAGCAATAGTGTCTTCTTTGGTGACATACCTTCAGTCAGAAGTGCATGGCTAAAAGGGATTTTTGGGGCTGCATCCTTTCATGACAAAGAGACAGGCCAAATTGTTGTAATGAAGGTGTTTTCCTGTTTTTCTCTTTTCAATTTGAATGACTGTTTGCATTTATACTTTTTCTTTCTATGATTCTTTTCAAATAAAATAGATACGACCTCAAACACTGCAGAAAATCCTGCAGAAGGTGATCTCCTTATGGAAGAAAAAGCCGAGTCATCAGTTGAAATGACTGAAGAACCAGGCTGCTTTGAACGAATGACAGAACCATTCCGCATATTAAGAAATGGCTGGGTGGCCTACTACGAGCAGTCGGTGTTCTGGGCTGGAATGGGACTCTCCTTTCTCTACATGACTGTCCTTGGCTTTGACAGCATTACCACCGGCTATGCCTACACACAAGGGCTGAGTGCCTTTGTTCTTAGCCTTCTCATGGGAACATCTGCTGTTTTTGGCATTGTGGGAACTTTGGCCTTCACTTGGCTGAGGCAGATATGTGGCCTGGTTCGTACCGGCTTCATATCTGGAATAGCTCAGCTCTGCAGCCTTGTTCTTTGTGCGGTGTCAGTTTTTATGCCTGGAAGCCCATTTGATCTCAGTGTTTCACCATTTGAAAACCTCGGAACTCACTTACTTGGAGGACAACCAGTCTCCCCTGTGCCTACAGCTGCTGTACATCAAGAGAACTCCACAACCACTATACAGAGTCTACTAAATTACTCCAACACAACTACCACCGAGCATGGCGTCTCTATTCCGCTCACCTCTGTCAGTCTATTCTTTGCTGGGATCATTGCTGGCAGAGTTGGTATGTGCAAGTAAAGGTTCCTTCCTCTCCTTATTTTTCATTTACTTTTTTTCTTCCATCATTTCTTCTCTTTCTTGTTCCCCTTGCTTCCTTCCCTTTCTTGTTCCTTTTTCTTTCCTTTCTTCACTTCTCTCTACTCTCTCCATCTTTCTCCCTAATTCCTTCCTTACCACCTTTCTTTCTTCTGGTTATTGTCCAGTTAGAACAATGATTTCTAAAAGATAGATATGGAAACAACTAGGGATGCACCGATACCAAGTGCCGTACTCGGTACAAGTACTGGTACAGATACTTTTACAGCTCCAAGACTAGACTAGAGAAGAATTCAAACGTTAGGAGGCCGCTGTCATTTGTAAGGAGCACACGGAGCTCCCGGGATTTGTACATCTCTGTTTTAATGTACGATTTTGTTTTTATAAATATAAATAAAGGGATGCACAGATACCAGTTTTGCAAGTACAAGTACTGATACTTGCCCAAATACTAGTACAATTACAGATACATTTTTGTTTAATGCCATGTGACAGTTTTTCTAAAACAATACAGACTAATGATTTCAGGACAGTGGTGGAGCGCCAGAGCCAGGTCCCAGCTGCAACCCTGGTAGTTCTAATGAAAATGTCAAGTATCGGCACTGGTATCTGAAAAGTATCGGTGCATCCCTAGAAACAACACTAGGATTCTGCATGTAATTTCCACCAGGGTCACCATCTGCATGGATTTTGCATGGTCTAGCAAGGTCTGAGTGGGTTTCTTGGGTTCTCTCGTTTTCTCCTAATCCAAAAACAGACACATTTAACAGATTCTTCTTCACCTTTCTGTAATGTAGGTGTCCGTATAACTGTGGTAAGAGTAATACACTGCATTTCTTCAGAGGCAGGAACTTGTGTAAATGGATGTATCTGCAGAAGATGATTGTTGTTTATAGAACATGGATAACTGAATATACTTTTCTTTTCAGGGCTTTGGTCATTTGATCTCACAGTCACACAACTACTTCAAGAAAATGTTAAGGAATCTGAAAGAGGCATCATAAATGGTGTCCAGAACTCCATGAATAACTTGCTGGACCTGCTGCATTTTATTATGGTGATCCTAGGACCCAACCCAGAGGCTTTCGGACTGCTTGTTCTAATTTCAGTCTTTTTCATAGCCATGGGTCACGTGATGTATTTTGGATTTGCTTACAAAAACTTAGGAAAACAACTGTTTTCTTGCTCTTCTTCTTCTGACCCCACGCCAGCTCCAAGCAATCAGAAACATATGGATACCTCTGCTGTTTAACAGGTTCTGGGATGCAGTTCCTTATTTTTGGTTTTGTACAGATTTATGTCAGCAGATCTTTTGGGAACCCTCTTCTCAGAATTCCCTGGACATGAAAAACTCTTGCCTTGCTGGGATTCCCTCAGTCTCAGAGGATTAAAGGTGCTTCCTGTTTGTGCATCCTGTCAGGGTTCCGAGGGCACGAGAAGCTTGGTCCCAGATGACGATGTAAACTTTAGGACCTAAATATTTTAAGGTGTATCACAGTTTGAGAAAAAAAAAAAAAGGATGTTTTTCTTACTTACAAGCATCTCTCAGCCATGGGCAGCGATGTTGTGACTGGGGAACCCCCTTTTTTATGCTATCTCCAAATGCACCATATCAATGCAAAGGGGCTTTTGACTAGTTAGATTAGCAGCACAACAGGATGGTGCACACGGGCATCCATCCAGCCTTGTGGATACTAGCCAACCACGATACATCAGTGACGTTCGGTACCTCTTGCGCCAGGTGAGGCATTCCCCAGCCTCGCCCCCAGCATGCCCCGCCCCTGCCGGATGAAGTCCCACCCCCAACCTATCCCCCAGCTGGTGTAAAAGAGGAAGGGAGGAGACAGGGCGGAGTCTCCCTGTCCCTCATTTGCTCCTCACTGCTGAGGTGCTCGTCCATGACAGGTTACACAGCGGGGAGGATTTCCCTGCTGTGTAACCTGTTAGATGCTGATCAGATTGGAGAAAAAGCTGTCTCCTGACCGCACATCTCTGCGATACATGCCAGGATGTTATATTTGGGATGGAAATTAACGATTTATTTTTAACATTCCAAACATTTTCAGGGATAACTACGTAACTGCCTTCCTTTGCCCTTGCATAACTGCTCATACCATCTCGTACAGACCTCAGATCAAGCTTTTAGAGGAGCTGAAGCCTATGCCAGGCTTTCTTCCTCTTCCAAGTTGATGGAGCATGTATGACCTATTCTCCTCAAGCCCTAAAAAAAACATATCTGAGGGAGATGGCTTTTCTATTAGATATCCACAGTGCTGTGTGTCCTGCCAGCTTGGAGAAAAACAGAAGTGTTTCCGGGCTGGCTGGCATAGACCATGGGTACTGTTGATCTGAGGTATGGTCAAAAAGGTATACGAGTGGTGATTGTTAGGCTCAGGTAGATTAAAAGTATTTTTATCTAAGATCTGGGAGTGCTGCTGCAACATGAGAGGGGCACTGCCACACTATATGATATTAGTCTTGCATCTGCTTCAACAGGTGAAAAGATAAGGTGATCTGAAAGGTTTTGCCATTGCTGTTCTGTTTCTGAAAAAGGCAGTTTTCTCTCAAGCTTCAGTCACCCAGAACTAGCAAGAAGTTAATATGCAACCTGCCTATACACCTTGATACTCACAGGTTATGTGTGGTGTAGAATGCCTTAATTGAAAATTACTGCTGGTTTATAATTGGTCATTAGGGACATACTTCTACATAGCTAACATAGGCCACAGTGTAGGGTGACAGCACTCTGAGGCAGCATACAGTAAACCACACATTATGTCACTGCCAGTAACACATTCCTTTGTGTAATGAAAGGTTCCAGATTGCCACCCTGCATGCCAGTAACATCCAGTCAGGTCCTCATTTTTGCAGAAAAATGCATAGTTTGTGTATTCATGTCTGTGGAATAGTGCGCTGTTTACTTACAGGTCATCCAATTTGGGTCTGTACACCTGGAGCTGAATTGCTAGAGAAGGACGACCTTGGTTCGAGGTGTACCACTATAGAATGGACAAACTTTCCGGTCAGCCTTTCCACCTCCAGACTAGGCATGCTTTGGGTGGCTATGACATGACATTTGGGGTAGGAGGGCAGCACCAAGACCCATAGTGCAGAAAGTATAAACTCCGTTTGTTACTGGCAGGCTGGGGGAGCACTTTGTATAATGGCTTGCTTATTTTTTTGTCTACAACACAGAGATAGAGGATAATATTAGAAGCAAGGCCATCGAGAAGAGCAGTACTTTTTAATTTCAAACAATGCGCACAAAAAGTAAAGTCTAAATGCATGTGAACACACGGTGTTAATGCACCTGTGATATTACCGTGTTTCCCCGAAAATAAGACAGTCATATTTTTTTTTGGCTCAAAAAAAAAAACACACTAGGTCTTATTTTCGGGGTAAGTCTTATTTATTTATTTTTCTTTTTGATGTACAACAATCCACACTTATTCATGTAGAAAAGTCTACATGTATTAGTGTACAAAAATATGGTAATCAGGGGTGCCGTACCTTTCCAAGAGCAATTTGCTAACCAATCGCTGGCCAGAATGAGCGAAGCGCGCTTTCACTATCGGATTCTTAAAGCTGAATCCTCCAGCCGACCCCTATTTCAGGTCACAGTTTTCAAAACCCTTAAAGAAACACGTTTCAAGAGATGTAGTGACCAGTTTTTTTTAAACATTGTACTGTGAGCTAAAATGACTTTTTAACCATTTGCTACATTCTTCCATTTGTTTAAATGGATTTCAGTTTTTACTTGAAAACATTTACCGCGAGTTCCTGTCATAATTGTACTTTCATGTAAGGATGTTTTGTTACCATTTTTGTTGTCATTTAAAATCATCAAATGTCTATTTATTTGTTATATAATCATGTCTTCTGTATATAGGAGTGATCCATACAATAGGTCAGGAGCAGCAAACCTGCCAGTCAATGTGCATGGTGCAGGTGTGTTCTTGAAGTGCCCTATGCAGTACTGTTCTTGCATTATGCAGTGATGGGGCTTTGTAGGTCACTTGGCTTACAGTCTTGGAGGGCCCAACTGCAGTAAAAAAACATGACAGAGATGCTGTACTGTCTGTGTCTCCTCTGTCACTTATCAGTACTGGGATAGGTTTTAAACCACTAGACTGCTGAATGTATGAAAGAGAAGTGATCCAACACGATATCATTTTCAGGAATGCACCACAATACCACGTAAAGAGACAAGGTTATACCTGCCACCAGGCATTCATATGTACACTATATGGCCAAACATTTGTGGACATCTGACCATCACATCTATATGTGTAAGACAGTCCATGCTAAAACCATGGGCATTAATATGGAGTTGGTCCCCCGTTGCAGTTTTAACAGAATCAACTCATCTAAAAAGAAGTGTCTGTAGGATTTTGTGCCCATTCTGCCAAAAGAGCTTTTATGAGGTGAGGTAATGACGAGAGGACAAGTAAATAGATATCCCACTGTACTACAGTTTACCCAACACAAGTACCAAGCAGAAGCAGTTTGGGCATTACAGAAGATACAGATCATGTTAAGGACAGCCAGGTAATAAATGCTGATTCATGCTGATCTGGGAAGGGATCAGGATACATGATCACCGGCAGCCAGGTTACTGATGACACAAGAGTGATTACTCCAAGGTGTAAAGTTTTCTATGTGCAACATCTGGGGTGTGTGTCAGTCTCAAGAACCCGAATCACAATGAAGGGAGTTTATTGTAAGAGAAGCAGCATGAATATACAGTATTTGTCTAGAGCACTGGCAGTCAATATGCATGATATAGGGGGCCTCAAATGTGGCCCCTTAAATCACCAAAGGGCCACACAATATTCAGCGAATATGATGGTATAGAAAGCTGGCATGGACTGCAGATATGGAGATGGTCAAACTCTACAGGCATGGTCAGAGATAGCAGACATGCTACGAGATATGGTCAGAGACTGCAGACATGCTACAGAAGATGGTCAGAAATTGACATCCATGGGCCTTAATGCAACTCGGTGCACATCGGGCTTAATGTATGTGCTCATTGAGCAACCATTCAAGGGCTAATACTTTTGCGTGAGATGTGAGCAAGTGGTTTATTTGGAAGGTCAGATTCCGGCTCTAAAAGGACAAGCTGGTGACACTGAGCAACATTAATGTTATAGAGAAGAGTTTGGACCTTACCCATCAGGTACTGGCAAGGGCCAGCATAGAGGAGGGTGGTAGTATGGAGGCGTAGGTCAGGAGGTAGGTAGCTAGGTAACAGTCAGAAGGTGGGGTGGAGGGGGGGAAAGCATCAGAGAGGCTAGTCCTGAGCTTTCACACCCCAATAAATATGGCCATTTGTTTGATGTTTGGGATATAAGCTCAGGGGTAGCATTGCTGGAGCAGAATATCTCCTCTAGCTGCCAGTGACCACTCCAGTATAGAGGAGAGCAGGGGATCAAGCAAAGAGACAATTACTGGTAAAAGGGGATTCTACAATTATGACAGACAGGGTAATCTGCCATAAAGAACGTGATCGCCGATCAGTATGTTGTTTACTGGGTGCTCGGGTTCGGCACATTGCAGATTGGACAGACAGATTATTGGGTGGGCCTGGGGAAGACCCAGCTGTCATGATACACGTTGGTACCAATGACAAAGCCAGGGGAAGATGGCGTGTCCCAAAGAGTCACCAGAGAGGCAGCGGGAGCTAAGAGAACTGAACAAGTGGCTAAGAAATTGGTGTAAGCATAACTGGGCTGACTTTTCAAATCGGCTACAGCAGGGATGGACTCCACCTAAATGGGAAGGGCGCAGCTCTGCTGGGGGAGAAAATGGTATGAATGGTTAGAGAACCTTATAAACTAGACGCTGGGGGGAGAGGTCAAATAGGATTATGCCAGGAAATGAGCGGAGATAAAAACATTTTTTAAAGTTTAGTTATGGGGGAAATAGGGGAAAATGTGATGATCCCCAACAGATGACAGGGAAATAGATATCAGAATCCAATGCAGGAAGTTTGCATGTAAGTAATAGCAGCCAGATTGTGAGCAACAAGAAAATCCTAAGCACTACTAAAAACCTGAAATGCATGTTCACAAATCCTAGAAGTCTGGCAAACAAAATGGAAGAATTGGAAATGTTACTACTCGGGAAGCTTGATCTTGTGGGAATATCGGAAACCTGGCTGAATGGTTCACATGACTGGGCTGCAAATATCAGGGGATATTCATTATATCGACGGGATAGAGGAGGAAGAAGAGGATGAGGAGTACGCCTGTACA